GGCTTATATTTGGAGAGGCTATTTAACGGAGGGTTTTTTGCATTACCCGCTTGGGGGGCTTATATTTGGAGGAGCTTGTACATGGAGGGGCTTATTTTCGGAATTTTACGGTAATTATTATACTCTGCACCACAATAAAGATGTTAGTCCCACCTTCTGTGTTTTTTTTTTTTTTTTTTAAGACTATAATAATTAACAGGGGTGGAGGAGGCCCCTTGGAATGAGTTTGCTTGCTGCCCCAAAATGTAACCCAGCGTAGGTTTACTCGCCCTTGATACTAGGATAACGTTGCTGCTCTGTTGTTTTCTTTTTTTGGATGAATAAGTGAATTAAGGTTGTCATAATCTTTTAGGTTGGCACATCATCTGTGGTTTACCCTGCGGCTGGATTTGCTCCAATGTTAGCCACTAAAGGGGTTCCAGTTGCTGAGTTTAACATGGAAGAGACTCCATGCACAGGAGCGTTCAGGTACCTTGATGCACCCTATATCAGTAATTAAATCTAAGAAAAAATGATGCATTAAATGGGAGAAGTCAGTTGGACCTCAAGAAGGCTCTTTTGATGGAGTTTTGAGGTTACCCTCCCAGCAAGTCAAGTGGATTTGCCTCTATGGCAAAACACTGGCGGTAGTCTCGTGGTGTTATGCAGACTACAAAAGACTGGAACAACACTAAACAAAAGTGAACCAACAATAGTTTCCACAACACTCAAGAAACATCCACTCTGCTCAAGATGTTCTCCTCATTCTTGACTCAGCAGGTAATGTTAGCTTAAAGCTCCTCACACTTAACTCTCATGAGTATCGGCCTGCTGATTACACTGGAACAAGTGAGCTCACTCACTGCATCAGACTCACAATCCAGAGGTCCCAGGTTTGAGCCCTGCAGTGACCACCTACTCAATATTTGTTTTGATAGGTTTCACTTCCATGGACCAGCTGGAGAAACTCTACCTCCATTACTGGGGGTAAAATCAGACTGAACCGGTAAGTTAACTCATGTCATGTATAATAAAACTAAATGAGTTATCCACTTTGCAGATTCAGTTTGCGCTAAAGAATTTGCTTTAAATTTGTAAGTGTAAAAATAATTTGTGACTTTCAAACTTTTAGAGAGGTTCGCATCATGTGGTACTTAATTACTTTAGTAAATCGCTGTTGATCAACATACCTGTCATTGACCAAGTTTAAGGTCAAGATGGTCGGATATTTGGCCAAGTTCTTAGTTAATTTTCCATTTTTATGCACCGAGATGAAGTAGAGGTTCATAAAACAAACACTATCTCACACAAAAAGAATGAAGCTAATATCCAGCCATCTTGACCAAAAGAGCTTAGTCAATTAAGGTTTTATTATAAGGCCAAAAGAAAATGACTTGCAGGAACAAAGTAGGATATCCTCAGTTGGCAAGATAGGCCCATAAAAGCAGGGGGAGGTGGTGGGGTACTTAAAGTTCTTGCTTTACAACTGAAAAATTGCCTGCAATGTTGGTATATTTCTGGGGCGAGTGAAAGCTGCTTATTTATCTTTTGTAATACTGTGGAAGGGGGAAAGGCCAAAGGGAGAGTGCAAGTACCAACCCTGGGCCATGGGATAGGTGTTATAGCTGGGTACCCCTTTTCTCACCCCATCTCCTTGACTTGATTCAACATCAAGATGGCAGTTATGCAAGCAATAGTGCACTTGAAAAAAAGGTGATCAAATTAATTGTACAGCTGCCAGCAACTTATGATACACAACACAATCCCAAACACTTGACTTTTCAGCCATTTTGTTCCTTTTATTTCCTAGAAAGATCAGTTATTGTTAGGTAAGTTCAGTGTAAAGAGCTAGATCTTTATCAAAGAAATGAGAAAGATGTGTCTACGACTGTACACAATTGAACTTTGAGAAAAAATGTCACAAGTCTGGTTCTATTTTACAAGAGAATAGTACTCAATTTAGTTCACTTTAAAAATATAGCTAAAATAATTATCTGATGATCTAAATATAAATACTGTAAATGACTTATTACAGTACATATTATTAATAATTATTTGTCGCATACAGTTACTTCGTAAATGAATTAAGCACTCTGCTAATGGCACTGCCAGTGACAAAGATGCTATTTTGGCCTCAAAGAAACTTGTATGTATTAAACTTGGTAAACTTTTTAAACTTTCTTTTGAACAGTACTGTGTACAATACTGAAAATACAACAGTTCTCCAACCCTCATTTCTGCAGGGGTAGAGCTCTAGGGGTTAGTCCAGAAATTTTGGGGGATAATAATTTATATCGTCCTTTGATTTGTAAGTTATCAATAATATTATAAATTTTGTGTTGCACACAAGAACACAAAAATAGGTTGAGCAACTTGAAGAAGACATTCCTGTAATTATTAATTTACTGAACTTTCAGGAAAAATGTGTTATGATAATGATAAAAGTAGTAATCAGGTTTGTGTAAATTACACTCGTCTGGGTGTTTTTAAAATGCTTGGTATAATTTAGATTTTTCGGCTGGTTAGCGCAAAGTCATGTATGACATTTTTGACAAAATTTTGAGTTTATAGAAACTGATTTAATGTAGACTGGTAAGAATGACATTCACTGACATGCTGGGCTAGTCATTTACCCTGACTGGAAAAAATAGTTATTTGTTAAACATGATTTCAATATTAGTAGTCATATCTACATAAAAAAAATGGTAGACCAGTTATAAGGACTTGCCAATAAATACACGTAACGTTTAGACACAAATAACATGATTTAAAATTGTATTTAGCATATGGATGTGTTACCCGATATTTGTTGGTCCATCCTAAAATAATTTATTACTTTTTTAGCAGTTTAACATAAAAGGATGGCAGCACATGATGCCATATTTTCAAAATACTTAGGTTTGTGTTTCATAAATCAATATTTGTAACTTCAATATATAATGAGGACGAACACATTTTAACTGCACAGTAAGCTATGAAGCAACAATACTAATTTTGTTATCTCAAAATAGTACAAGCCATGAAAAATTGGTTTTCACAGCCTTCATTTTTTTATTAGTTTGAAATCCACAGTGAGGGGATCAGGATTTTCTTGACAACTGAATAAATGAAGTAGGCCCATTCTGCTTTCAGAGCTCACTGGATAAAGTTTTAACAATATTTAAATGCACTGTACATTGATGACAGCAGAGTACGATACAAGCAACCATCATCTAAATTTAGTCAGATTACACTAAAAGTCAAGTAAAAGGCTCATGCAACATGAGCAAACTGAAAATGTTTTAACACTTTCAATAGCACAGAAAGATTATGATTTATCGCGGAGAAAAACTATTACTTTGGTTGCTGTAGCAAAATCCTACCAGACATAAATAATCCTAGCAAAAACTAAGGTGAATGTTGGATCTTATTTTCTATCAAACATAAAATAATTGATACTTACACTAAGGTTATGTTCACACTGTACTGGATAGTTTTTGCGCTGCCATGAAAATCATACCGGATAGGGTTTCTGTTCACACAAAATTGGTTATGAGGGCGCAATTTCTGTGATGGAACAAAACTGTGCTACACCAATCTCTAAAGCGGGGAGTCACGTTTTGGATAGGTGTTGCCATGAAAAGCTACCCGGTATTGAGTGAACATAGCCTATACCTAGAGTTAATTTGCACATAATATGCAGTATTTTCTTTAATTTCTCACTGATGGTCAGACAAACATTTTGAGCCCCAGATGCATAGAACTCTACAAATGAGTCCTTTTGACGACTTCAAGGTCTTTAACAGTGGATAAGTAGGGAGAAGATAATGCTTGCCTATGAAGTGTGTTTTGGGTTTTTTTTTCAATCATGGGGGCAAAAAATGTTTTCTGTTCAACTGAACACCTGGGTCCAGTTTCAAATAAATAAATTCCGCATTAGACACATTTCATACAATTCATATTAACTATTAATATCATTCTGATAATTCAATTATTAATGCCTGTTTTCTGTCAGCATTTTTCCTAAAATGATGCTGTGTTGTTTTCTAAATATAAGCCCTACTAATGCTCCTAATACAAACACAACACACGCATTTGCTAAAATGTTTAAAATAAATGATCAGTATTTTTCACTGAACTAAATCTTCAGTCCTCTAGAGTCTGAACTTAGTGAGCTAAAAAGCTATTTTCATAGATTTAGCTTTCTGCATTTTCGATTACTTTCTCGTCATTATGTTAATATGTACAATTTTTTTGCTTCGTTTGCAATTTATATATATTTTTCCATATTTAGAACTTGGATTTATCTTTTCTATTTCTGAGGCTATGCTGAATTAATTACCAGAAATTAATAATTTCCCTGAGTTTTGTCTCTGTAGCTTTCTCAGTAAATGGAAATTAAGGTGGTAACTTGCCATCTAATCTGGGAAAAAACTTTTGATTGTGAAAATTTTAAAATTCTCATAGCATTTTACCATTTCATAATTCTGTATTTTATTTGCCATTTATTTGAAGACATCCTTTCCAGACCTTTGAGATAAGAATATGTCCATTTATTGTGAAAGAATGATAGTTTGTTCACCTGTCTATAGAAGACTGTAAGTTGTATTCTTGGCTCTTTGACGTAAATCCTTGACACACAACAGTTGAAGGTACAGAGTGAAGTGTTGTCACACAACTTATGTAGCAGGAGGTAAACTCTAGGAGAGTGCCTGTCAGGTATGATGAGAGTTTTCAAGATCTCTGACCATATTTTTGTTTTAACTACCTCCCATAGTCTGCAATCTGCAAGAAAAAAAGCAAAACGTCTTATTAGACATAACTTTAGGAATGCACAACTTGATTTGCAAATGGCACATATTTTGCGATTTATAAGTCTCAAAGTATGGAGTTTGGCATCTTGCGATTTATAGATCGCAAAGCTATATAGGTATTTTTTTAATTTACAAAGAGCAAAGCAGCAAAAAGGCTAGAAGGTTTATAGATCATGAGGCTGGGTATCAGTGATTTATAAAATTAATATTGCAGATGTCGTTGAAAGTATTATTTACATAACCATAAGATGACTCTTGTGCTATTTGTTAAAAAGCCAAAAGTATACAAAAATATTGCCTAAAATAATATTTTTACATTTGGCAGCTCATACTGACATTGCCACTTTGACCCTTTTACTTCCACAATCATTTATAAAAACATGAGATGTTGTTGAAGCCTTTCAGTATGTAGACTGACTTTTAATAATACTTTCATTCTTTAGTTCTGTAATTTAAAGTTTTGAGGCTGACTGGGATAAAATCCGATGGTGTTTTCATTCATTTAAGAACTCTTCAGGAGTACTTTCAGATGGTGTTTTTTGTTAAGCATGCAGTTCTAATTTTTGAATCAGTGGACAAAATCTTGTGGTGTCACCATACAAATGAAACCTCTTCAGGAGTACTTTTACACAGTACTACTCATTTTAATTTAGCATTTTACAAAGTCAAATCCACAACTTTTAGTTTTGGCACTGTTAGTGGTGAAAGGGTTCCTGTAACAAAGTAATCACATGTTTACATCAGACTTTTACCTGGTATCCTTGAAAGAAGGGTATAAATTCATATGGTTGTGCTAAGTATGGTGACACTCTCATTCGAACATTTGCAGTGGCTGGTGGGTAATAAAAATTATTCAGGTTTCCTCCTCCAATGCCATTTGTTGGCATAACACAGTTGAAGTATGTTGGTGGTGGCGAGTTGGCCACATACACTCCTGTAGGGCTGCGACAAGGTGGAGGTGTTATACTGTCCGTGTGTCCATTCATGTGTGTCCCCGTGTGTGTAACCACCCCGTCAGTCACAGGAAATGTACACGGATGGCTAAATGGTGTGGAGTTGAGTGACGGTAACTTAGTTTGATTGATTGTACTGCTGGTGATGATAGAAGCAATGTCAACTCCGGAGCAAGGAAATACTTCAATGTATCTTTCTCCCATGTGCTGTCTGTGCAAATCACCAGTGGCTGTTTTTGCACACTCTGCAGACACTAACTGAACATAAGCATCTCCAGATGGTCGACCCTATGAAACAAAAAAATTCTAATTATTTATTAATTTTAGGCTTGCATGATAAGACAAGTGTAAGATTCATTGGCTATTAATTCATTTTTAACCTACCGCACAATAATAATTCAATCAATAATATTATTTTGAAAGAATGGTAATGCTGCCCATAAAAATACAATATTATGAAGACTCATGAGTTGCCTGTTATAATTTACAGTTGAGTTTGAGAAGTGTTGGTACCATAACAAGATGTGATCACTGACAATAACATTAATTTACCTGTGTGTTAAACACCATGTGAACTCCACCAGGAACAACAAAAGCTGCATGGTCCCCAAGAAAGTCTAGTACATCTTGGACAGTTGCTGAGAATGGTAGACCCCGTAGACGCAAACAGTCCTTACTGTTCATGCCATTAATGGATTGCCCAGGCAGCAAAAAGGGAGGAGGAAATGGAAGGTGCGGTGGAAGAGGTGGAAGCATAAATGGTGGAAGAAAGTTGTGCATAAAGTTGCTGTATGAGTTGAGAACTTGCTGAACCTCACTTTGGGAGCTACGGAACAGCTCCGCATACCGAGAACCCAATGAACACCTGTGCTTTCTTAGTGCAGTACACCCATGCTCTTCTGTTTCAAAAAGAACAAAGGCATCTCCTGTTGGCTTTCCAAAGCTGTTTCTAACCATTAGGATTCCAGATTCTCCCTTAAACACTGGTACATCATCTTCAAAGAACTTAATCTACAAAGAAAAAAAAGTGAAGAATGAACCATGCTTATAGAGTAAGCATATTGACTCTTTCATTCACAGAATCAATTTCAGGAGACATTAAACTTTTAATATTCTAACTTCTCAGTCTATTTACACAATTCTCAGCCAGTGTCGTGATCATTCATGATGCTTAATAGTTTTAAGAATTTTACGTGAGTTTTGATACCCCATGCATCAATGTTACAATTACCCTTCTTGACTCTTCACCTACATTGTGGTTTTAGCAACACAAAATAATGTCACGTCTTCGATCAGCAAGTCATAGTAAGTCTCTGTCAGCTTCCATCACCTCTGCATCAACCCATACAGTGTATTTGATTTCTCTTTTTTACACGTTAATTAATACAGTCATGTGTCCATCAGCTTTAATCATGTCTACTAATCAATTTATGATTTATTTTAACTCATCAACCCATTTCATGTGTCTGTTAACCCTTCAAGTCCCAATATCCAAATAAAAATTTTCCAGACACTGTTTCCATATATTTCCTTAATGAATTAGTTAAGAGAATTTGTTTGAAGATCAAAGCATTTTCCACGAGGTGATTACTTTATTGATTCTCACATTTTCTCTTGATTATGTAATGATATCAAAAGGGGAAAATTGATATTCTTTGGTCATTTTCAGGACTTAAAGGGTTAACCCACCAGACTCTCCATTTATTTTCCTTGACAATATCACCGCCTATATTAATCCATTAAGGCCAAGATCGATCTTGTTTGTAAAACAAATTCTCATCATTTATTGCTGGAACATGTGTGATGAGCACGTACAAGTAGCAACAATACAGCTTTTCTTTTATAGCGTAACCATTTTTAAATGGTTACACTATAATTTTATCATGTCAGTCTGACAATCTACATCACATCTTTTGATCCACATCATGCCAGCAATGATCCATACCACATCATTATAAATCCACGAGATTAGTATTGATCCATATTAGGTCTCCATCAAATCTAATCATTCCTCTATTGAGCCAAATAACATGTCTGAGCAACTTGGCAGGAAAAAAAGTAATAAACTCACAACATCTGATTCTTTTGTGTTGAATGGAAGCCCTCTCATTCTGATGATTACTTCTGCCTTGTTTGAAACAAAATTGGAAGCAATCTGCGTGACATCAATTGGACCTCAAGAGACAATAATATTCAATATATTTATTATATAATACAAGCAAATTTGGTGGAATTATTGTACTAACAGGTGTGCCCATGCTGAGAAGAAACAAAAAATTTTGAGCTCTGTAGGACTACCTACAATTTGGACAGAAAATGTTTTATTTCTATATCTAATATAATGAATTATTTGGATAGTTTCAATTTAGATTTGGACAATTTTGTATAGACACCGCCCACCTGGACTAGCATTTGCTATTTGCAGGTAACCAAAGAATGTGAAATGAAATACAGGTGAACCTCCCAATTGCTATCTTACACACAGAGGTGAGAAGCCATATTAGAGAGGGCTGTTAGTAGTCAGCGTTTCCCCTCCAAAAAATAATATTGAACAATGAAGATGTTTTAACAAAAATTAATAAGTACACTACCAAAGGAGGAAATTATTTCAAGAAGAAATAAATACCTCTCACAATCTTTAAAAAGTCTTGAGCTGTAGCTCTGTACACCTAAAATATAAAGTAATACTTTATTTTAGGAATCAATAAAAGAATATTAAGAAAGAATACAACAGGAAGTCTTTAGAGACAATACTGTTCACCTTGGTTATAACAGCATCAAGGTCAATGTAACAGTCTGATGCCTCAGTGGAATTTCTCTTACTCTGTGTGTGGCGTTAGAATAATAGTGCAGTTAAGTCATGACGTTCCAGATAAGGCTTTTAGTAAACATATGATGCCTTGAAATGGCATAATATCAACAGCAATGTTGGGGAATGTTTTAGGAGAATATTTGCACTGAGAGTTCACGTTGGCTTGTGCCATGTTTTTTTTAGGAATCAACAAAGTTCTTGTGAATCTAATTGAATGCTCAGTTTACAAAGTGGATGAGTCAATCTTCCTCTGTTTTCAAATTGCCTAGAATGAGATACTATAAAGCACTCCTTTTCCTGAAAAATATGCCTGCACCTGTATTTTCATCTCGCATGCACATGACATGTGGAGACATCACCTCATTTCACACCAAACTGTAACCTCACAAGAACAAACAAATAATTATATATATCACTGACTCACACTAATAAACTGATGACTAGTTTGGTATGAAATGAGGTGATGTTTTCACAAATTGGGTGCATGCTAGGGGAATAAAGACTACTACAGATAAGTCCAGTATAGAGTCCAATGTAACTCTGTAATGTACTTTGTTTTTGTTTTGCTAAGTGCATTGCGATGGCTTAAAATTTCACACTCAACAAATTAATCAGGGTTCAGGTCCAATGTAAAATGTATTTCCAGATTACTTTTTGTTTCTGATGCACTAAAGCAAAAATTACTCCTGCCTTGGCAGGCTACGGGTGACTTGCCAGCATTCTTTTTCCCATGAACCCAAAAATTGGTGTGTTCAACGGATGAACAGTGGGTTTGATTCACGATCACAAAACTGAAGAAGTTGATCTCTCTTGCCTTGCATGCATTTTCCCACAAATGAAATTTGGTTTGTTCAGCAGATAAACATTGGGTTTAACGGACCCAATCCAAAAATGGCTGCTGGATTAATTTTCTTGTGTTTAAATTAAAATTAGCCTCTCTTGAGATAACGTATTCTCTTGAATTTTGTACTTTAAAGAAAACAGCTAGTCAGGCTAATTTTAATTGAAACAAAAAAATATTAACCCAGCAGCCATTTTTACATTGGGTCTATTCCTGACCACAAAACTGAAGAAGTTTATCTCTCCGTACCTCAATGTACCTTGTTCCAAGATGATGCTTGTGTCTTTTCATTGCTAATTCTCTATGTTCTCCCTTTTCAAACCTAATGAAAGCTTCCCCATTTCTTCTTCCTTGGGCATTCAAACAGAAAGCAATCCCTCCTCTGGAATAAAAAGGAAAATACTTAAACATGTAACTCACCTGGCAACATTTAATTTATTAATTTATGCTGTCGCTGCTTGTTCTCAAATATTTTCTATCAAAACAAGAAGCTTAAACGAATTATTAGTAAGCTTAATAACTATAATTATTTCACTTTATGTATATTGCCAAACAAAAAAATTTAAAAAAAGAAAAACATAACTTTTTTTGCAAACAATGAACAATACGTAGTTATACAAGCAAAGTATAGTTTCTTCTGAATTTAATACTGGTACAACACAAGAAGTTGTTTGAGTAGGAACAACAGGTATGATCCATTTAAAACTTGGAAAGGTCCACCAAATGACTCATTTCAGTTACTGTAATATTCCGAAAATAAGCCCCTCCAAAATAATATCAGCCCCCCAAACCGGTAATGCAAAAAACCCTCTGTTTTTTTCGCCCCTCCAAACATAAGTACCCCGGGGGCTTGTACTTGGAAAATTGCCCTCAAATACCAAGTAAAACAAAGCAAAAATGGTAAATTTACTTCCAACTATAAGGCTAGCCCAATCGATTTTGAAACGCAAATTTCCCTCCGTATATAAGCCCCTCCAAAAATAAGCCCCTCAAAAAGGGTCTTTGAAAAATGTAAGCACCAGGGCTTATTTTCGGAATTTTACGGTATTTATGAGATAAAAAATATTTTTCAGAAAAGCTAAATAAAAATGTTAAATTATTATCCATAACTGATACAATCTGTTGGCTGCTAGTTGACAATACACAGTGTACCTTACGATGTTGAGTCCCTTGAAGAAGTTTGCAACATCTTGATCTGAAGCTTGCCAAGGAAGTCCTCTTGCTCTTAAAATAGTATCATCAAGGACCACCCCGAGGCTGTAACAGGAAGGATTTCTTTTAAATAATTTATTATATTCTTTTTATAATCTAATGAATAATGAAACATTTAACTTAAAATAACAATCTCAAGCAACATGAAAGAGCAATAGTTTATAGAGCATGTAACTTACAAATTTTGTTTGTTTGTTTGTTTTTTTTTAACTTTTCACATTAGAACTTTTCACCTCCGAACTTATGAAGAACATGATTCAGTCTTCCAAGGAGGATTAACAAAAAAAATCGAGATTAATAGTACTTAAAATTTTGAGGAAATATTCTTGGCAAAGAAAATGATTCATTGTTAAAGCAGGTGACATTGTTGTACATGTGGGTGGTAATCAATGCATTAGGTTATTGAAGACTTCATGACAACTCACAATAACATTATCAACATTTGTCACTGGTGTTTCAGGCATTTTTCTGTACAAAGCTCTTTCTTGTCAAAGTAACTAATACAAGGGATTAAATTGCTTGGGGATTAACAAAAATGGCCATTTTTCAATGAAGTACAAACTAGATCAATAATTATTATTATTAAATTCAACAAGGAATGCTTTACAAGCCACTGCCCCTCCCCCTAAAAACAAAAGATAGAAACAACATTTGCCAAAGAGTTAACTTAAATAAAAAGACTTACAGGTTATTGTTAAATAGCTATTGATTATTGTTAAGAACTCAAGAGTTAACTGTCCTTATCAGAAGAAGCATCTGTGTTGAAATTTTATATCATGGGCCATCACCAGCACAAATTAAATTTGAGTTGGCAATATTTTTAACATGATTATTCTGATCTGATAAAAATATTCCCAACTTATTTATAATTATTAATTGTCACAAAAAGGCAGTTTTCTTACTACATTCATTGGTACTGAGATTTTCTGGTGAAATGACTTTGGAATGGTAAACAAACATCCTCTTACTTCATAACATTTCATGCGTAAATCTCAGTACCTAAGAAATAATTGTGATGTTTGGGTACCAACTTTTTTGTTTGTAAAGAAGCGCCATACCATGGTCCAGGCTCGTACTTTGCATTGATCTTTTCTGCTTCCTTAAACTTGTGACCTACACAAAACAAAAAATACACTTAGCACACCTAAGTGCAAGCAACAGAGGATAATGGTACAGAAAGGGAAATGCCCAATCAAGCCCTTGGGACAGTTGTGTTAAGGATGTGCTTGTAAGGTCTCTCCTGATTGGTCGCAGAAAACAATGACATGTTCTTTCAATTGTTTCAGTATTGTTTGGGGTCAGGGTTAGGCGACATTGGTGACATCTCTTCCGAGCAGCTGCTACATGACCCCCTTGGGGGATATGAAAATTTCACCAAATTTAAGTTTAGACCAATTGAATGCTTGAATTTTTTGCCATGTTAATATTCTGCATTTTTTGCTGATTAAGGCAGTCGTGTGTAGAATTGATGTTGTTTCAAACAATCAACTAAAATTTGCATTGTCCCAGGAATTAGACTTCCATTAAATTACAGCCTCTAAAATATCCCAGCCAATGCCCTAAGATTCTCCCTTGGTGCAAGTCAATGGAAACAAAATTTATACAGCATCACCTTCTTTCAGGCAGTTTTAGACAGTAATGGAAGCATGGTTTATTAGAGAGTTAATCCTTTCACCTATGGTATAGCAGTAAGGTTTTCGTAACTAAGTGTGACACGTTTCACACTGCACACAATTTTTATGCCTCTCACTTAGCAGTACTGCCATCAGATTTTTAGACTGTGCCCAAAATTGCCTTTGTTATCTGTTATCTAAGTGGCTATTTCACAAATATTCCACCCAGGTCAACTAATGTTTGACACTAAGCCAATAATATAAAAATGTGAGAGGAAAAGAGGTCTTTCATTTCCCACTTTGTTCCACTTGATTAATTCCTTAAGACCCCATCAATTTCCTTCCTAACCTTGCAATATTACAAAATATGATGATCAAACACACTATGGGGTCATAAGAAGGAAGGAAATGGAAAGTATCCCCAGGGAAAACAAAATGATTATTTACATGGTCTCGATACAGTCAAAGACCTTTTCTATATGTTGCTTAAGTGAGCACATTCATTACAATGAAATATGATCTAGGCTGGGGTACACAATTTTTTTGAAATCACTCAATTTTGTCACTCCAAGCCTCAAGATGGTGCCGTTGATCACATGTATGCAGAAATATCCTGTGAATGCAAATATTTTCCGATTGAGGCTTCTTCCACTACCTGCATGTGTTCCTGGGCCAAGCCATTGCAGAAACGGCCTTTTTCTAGCATGCAAATCTACAATGTTCTACCAACACAATGGAAAGGCAGAGCTACTTTGCATATGAGTGGAAATCTCAAAAATTAATAACACTAAGTTCTGGAAAAGACTGAATATAACGAGAGGGACCAAGTCTAGTTTTTCATTGTTCAGAGTCATAAATTATGTAATTATGACGTCACAATGTGCGCAATGTACTTCTAAGATTCACACAATAAAGAAAACAGGTATCTTGACCATCGTGATACTATGTCGTTACAATAATTGTAACATTCAGAGACGAATCTTTACGTCACTTTGTGACACAGCATGAAATTAAGGTCAACAAATTGGGTGTGGTATAAGTTGTTTTAGCTTGTGTCAGCCACCTCCTCCCCCTCAAACAAAATATGTCTCTTCTGATATTGAGTAAAGTGGGCAGCTGTGCACAGGCTAAAGGTGGTTTTACCCTTTGCTATTGTTACCAGTGGGGTGTTACCAGTGAGAATTTATTTAACAGCTTACCTTCATTAATCAGGTACTGCACTACATTTGCCATAAGTTTACAATGCTCCAGACCAGCTGGGTTGTTATTGTTTGTATCGATTTGGCAGTCTATTACCTCATTAAGGAAAGAGTTATAAACATCTCTTTACAAAAATATATATATATAAAAAACATACAGTCAACTCAAGATCTATTTTAATGGACACCTTGGTAAATGGACAACACAAATTAGTCCCTGCATTAGTTACTTCCTTTAGTTGACTCTATAAGAGAGACATCACTCTTAAATGGACAATTAGTGCCGCTCCATCTTAGTTAGAGTTGACTGTAATAAAAATCCAGATGTTGGGATCCAATTTAATTATAATGGCTAAAATTGAGCATGACTGAGCAGCAAATACTCAACCTCTATTCAATTTATTTCACAGGAGGGTGAAAGGATACAAGAAGCCACATCTTCCAGGTTTTTGAAGTCTGAATCGTGCTTAACTGCTTTCTTTACCTCCTTCTTGAGGTCATAAAAGCTGTAGAAATGTTCAGACAACTTGGCTTTCTTTCTACTGGCTTCCCAGTGAAGATTGTGTCTTAGAGCCAACTGTCCATCTGTCACAAGACACCATTGCTCTCCTGTGCGTTTAATCATCTTCTCGATAAAGCTGTCAAACTGCAATACAGTATAGAAAGAGGAGAAAAAATATAAAGCATTACTTTAGCAATTATTTTTATAACTGAAAACAAAACAAACAAACACCGATGGGTTTTCAAGTTCTGTTTGATGATGGAGCACTCCAGGAATGTAATGACACCATTTCAAACACTACTCAAAGGAAAAACTGCTTAAAGTGACTTTAGACACCGGACCTAATCATCAGAATTATTTTTGTGCAACTTTAAAATAGTTCCAATAATGGTGTATATCAAATTAAATTTGAGGAATTTACTTTGTCAAACAATTTGTAGTTTGACTACAGTTAATTTTAAAAGCCAAACACTAAACTATTCAGAACAATTAGCCTAAATATTAGATAAGATTTAAAATTACTGAAAATTAAATTACTAAAGTTACTGCTAGGACAACAATATGATCCACAACTATCTACATCTAATATCAAGTTTTTTATTGTGTGGCTTAGAAATTTTAAAACTCATGTCTGTGGTTAATATTTGGCAGTCTGTTATTTTGTCTGTCATTGATAGTCTTTGCACTGTTAATAATCACAGTGGAAAGTGATCACTGGAAAAAATTCAAATAGGACTGGCAAAAGCAATCCAGTTGTTATCACAAAGCAGAATATTTAAAATGAAAGATGAAACCCACAATTCTTAGCTAGACAAAGACAATGATGGAATCATAGATGAATACGAAATTAGGAAAGTTTTAACACAAGCAAATTAATGAGCCTGGAGAAAGAAATCAATTGTTACTTTTAGAGTTTTAATTACCCTTTCAACTTGTTTTGTAATAGATGCTGACGGACATGAAATAAAACACTTGTTTGCATGTGACATGATTGTTATCACAGCTATGTCCCTTAGACAGAAAAACCTAAGAAAATATTTCAATAGACAGCATGTCTAAAAATTATGGAAATAAGTGTGGTTCAATTAGCAAAAATTCTTCTTGGGTCTGCGGCAGAAAACTGCTATAAATATTACAGAAAAGTGTGTGTGAACATCCGATGAAAACATTAAGGGATCGAGTACAAACCTTCTAGGATAATGGTGAAACTGAAATTCTATTAAACTTCACTTTCTCTGAACACATGAGTTTAATGAGGTAGAATCCAGTGTAATTCAAAGTGCGGCCTTTATATTTTGAATCTTGGCCATACGATTGCATAAGAATTCTTTTAACTAAGAAGAAAGCAAGCACTTTAGACTGCTTTAGAGATGCCAAAGTACAGAAAACAAACTTTGAAAAGGAAAAAATTATACAGAAACAAACATTTTACTAAAAATTAATTATAAATGAAGTGATACGACGACGAATTTTTCAAAACCCTGAGAAAGTAGCCACTGTTCTAACTAAATTACAATTCATTATTGAGTAGTTTTCACAACCTGCGGATTGTACAATAGTGCGATTTAATAGGGAGAAATTTCAAGACGCAATGTAAATATACATCAACGAGGCCAGCCAATAATCTGATTGCAGTGGCAATACCAAGTGCCAATCATCGGGTGTTGACAGAATCTTAGGGGTTTCCTATGGCACAATGCATACAAGGCAAAGGTAAAAACAATAGGAGTACAAAGTATTTTCACATTTTCACGCGGAGAGATATTTACAAAGGGACCTGAAACTTCGTACATTTGTCGTACACCAAAGAAAAATGAGAGAGTTGTCTATGCTTTGTTCTAAAACAATACCTCCGCCCACTCATTCTATGGATAAAGCTAATAATGTTTTGATCGCAAACCCGATGCAAATTTGCGCGCCAACCCTGCGGACGAAAATCGACTATAAATCGCGTTTGTGTGATTCTAGACAGTCTAAGTTTGATAAAACACTTAATCAAATTCCTGACTTAAATAAGGCCAATTATGTCTTATTCTTGGCCCGAGCGCGTGGTGAGTGGGATTTCTCTGTGGCGAAAATGTGACCGGCATTTTACGTGACACTTGAAAAACAATCAGTCGAGACTTGAGATTTATTTTGGGACGCGTTTAGACGAGAGATCGCGAGCCGCACACATGATATCAAACAATCGATCGGGATCTTGCTGACCCGATCCCGGTGTTCATCTCTATTTCCGACCTTCCAAAAAAAATCAGATGAGCGCGATCTGTGCGTACGAATCAAATCTCAAGTTTTTTTTAATTTTGCCATTTCCCGGGGAACCTGAAAAATCAACCAAGCACGAATTTGAACAGGCGAATATTTCATTGGCCAAACGAGTGCTGTATTAACACTTTCTCACCAAACTGCCCGTTAAAGATTATGAATGTTGTATGGGGTGATCGGTAAAAAAGTTATTCTTGTGCGAAAAAGAGAGAGAAGGTTTGCCAGAAAAAAATAATGATAAAATAATGATAATAGCAAACCGAGATTTGTGACAACTGGTGAACAAGGCCACACACAGGAATACTCGAGAAAAAAGGGCAGATAAGAGATATTTACTACTTTGGTAAATATTCGATACACGCTGAGTCGTCTTGAAACGTAGAAACTTGGCCCCATGCACTCAGTCATACTGAGCGCTTGGTCGCCCTAGCGCCCTGAACTTTCGATTAGAAATATTTACAATACAAAAACCTCAGAAATAAACTTTGTTAGGATTAACTGTTTTTTAATATTTCATTCCCGCACGATTTATTATTATTATTTTTTAATCTAGCAATCCTTGAAATGAATTTCGAGCGTCTCTGTCTAGAAATAGCGCGCGACCGATCGAATTTTATATTGAGGCCCCGTCGGCTGGTTTACCCAGGAGATCGCAATACGTATGCCGAATGTACAAAAAAGATTCACTCCCTGACCGTGGCAAGCGATGAAAAAATATCCCCGGCGACTTTTCTTCGGCCTTTACTGGTTGTCAGTGTGTGTATATGAATTGTGAATGCAAACCGTACAAGCGTATCACGCCAATGAATTTTGCATGACATAACTTGAAATTTTTCTCTGGGTCTTGAGCAACCTCCGCTAGCAGAATAGCGCGAGAGAAGACGGGGAGTAGAGAAATTTATCACAAAATCGGTAATTTCGTGTCTTGTTGTTGATCGAACAAAGGGGGCAACGGAAGTGAAGGATTAAACATATACCAGTAGTAACGTTACCTCGTCTAAGGCTTCGTCGAGTAGTTCAGCCTCACTGGTCACAGTTGAGTTGGTGGTTGATTTTAACGCTTCGTTCACTCCAGACAGGCCCGCTTTCACAACACATCTCTGCACGGAACCAAGCTAATTCGGCATAAATGAGAAAAACGTTAGCGAGGAAAAAAACCACCGTCATATTGTTCTCACTTGAAATCGCCCCCAGAGCCCTCAAGAATTTTTTCGCTCGCGCCGGGCAAGGAAAACCCCGACACAATAACTTACACAATCCATAACAAGTCACCGCAAGAATTTTTTTTACCTGATTTGATTTGACGTCGACAGCAATCCATGAGATGCCTGTAATTATTTCTTCATCGTTATCGGATTCCCTGACTGGTACTCTTACAGTGGTACAGTGAAAGCAGACCAAATGCTCAGGAGAGCCCATGTTTTCCCTTGGACAGGGAACGAATCAATGAAATGTTGTTCTTGTAAGTGTGAGTGGGAGCAGAAAACCAGCCGGGTCGAGTCACATGTCACTAAAGATACCGGCAAATACTGTGCGCTGATTGGCCCAGAGGCGATACGGGGGCTGGCCCACATGCCACGTGGCCTTAGAATAATTACCACGCTTGAGTGAATTCTGGCCGTCACGGTTTTCCTTCGCTGGAGACGAAATCTACCCTGGGCAACGGACTTATCCCCTTCGCTATTTGCAAATAAACATCTCCGCAGCTCACAAAAGAGGCGCTAAATGACGGGAAGAGTGCTGTTTTTCGAGCAAACGACGCCTTTAAATTTTAATTTGCCTCGTTTCTAGCGCTGATGATGTGAGTAGAAAGTGACAGATACAACAAGAGGCGAGCCTCTCGGCGTATCAGGTCATTTCCCTGAACTGGCCTAAACTGGTCCTCTGCCAGACAAGGCGAGTCAAACAACTTGCCACCCATTTTCATGAATACGCAAATCCCTCGCTTAACCCTTGCCTTTTCTAGGCTTGCTTATTACAGCGCAGCACGAACCAGCATGGGATAACCTTAACACTGGACCCTATTTTCCCGGCCATCCGATAACGAAAAACTGCTACCTTATCTTAAAACTTGCGCGAGGAAGAGAACGGTTTTTAAATGATTCTCGTTATTTTGCCAGTTTTCCGAGATGGCTTCGCAGCTTCTCTGAGTTTTCGCGCTTATCCAACACCTGTTTTAGCAGGTTAAAAGTGTATGGTAAGAGCTTTTAAGTGCAAAATCCATTTTTTCCTGTAACAACACTTGCTTAACGACCAGGAACGGCGGACTCAACACCCTGAGGCGGGACCGGGACACGAAAGGTTGCAACAAACTATCTTAATGCAAATAACGAGTCATTTGTAGGTAAGAAATAAAACTCAGAGGGAAAGGTCGCTTAACTAGAAGTTTCTTCTCCACTGTCTAATGAAGTTCGTTGTTGGGTATGACGCATGAACGATTTAAAATAAAAATAATGAACGAAGAACAAGGCGAACTATGAAAACAAAACAAAAACAAATGCCCCCGAAATCCACTTCTAAGAAGATTTATCTAGAATCACACGCCCAAAAAGGCCGGTGTAACGATGTTTACAAAAGATTTCCGATGATCCTTAAAAACAAAAACGTACTAATATAGATTGCAGAGCGATGGAGAACATTTCGCAGTACATTCACGCGAAGTTTGAATGCACTATATTAGCTTCGAGATAAAATTTCCATAAAATTTTACGCACGCAAGCTGCTACCGCTGAAGATGGTGTTTGAAAAGCGCAAATTACGATATGTTGCGACTGATAAGGAGCCAAGGAATATTGATAAGTTACAATTTAAAAAGGAAGTCCACAGTTTGTCTAGCATGAATGCAAACAGACGGAATTCGCAAGTCCGCTCAGTCATTTCTAGAACGACCAATTTCCTCAACTCCTCTTTTTTCTTCTCGTGATAATCTAAATAGTGCTGACAATCTTAAAATTTGCCCTCTGAAAATATGGCGATATTTAAAGGTGTTTAAAGATTAAGTTATAGAAGAACCGGTGTATCGAGGGCGACGAGTCCGATACAGGGTATAAGAACAATATTACTTTTTAAGTGGCAGATAAAAACAACGAATATTCGAAAAATAAAATTCCATACATCGATTTTTAGTCCTGACTTCAATGAAAAATTACAATTACGATTTGGTAATGAAATCGTTAGCATCAATAAGCCGTCAAAGGAAACAAAATGCTTTCGGGGCGAAATACGAAAGTCCGGAAGAGATACGGTATATTTTACTTTGTACAAATGGTTGTTTAACCGTCAATCCCCCTTGATGGACGAGATCTTTGTTGGTTGGTACGTAATTCGCTGGATATTTTAGCTGAGTGTTAATGGAAATATCGTAACAACACTGCGACGCGGGGTTCACTTTTAATTTTCGACGACAAACGAATGACCAGCGAAGAATATTTTTCTGGCAAGTTCGTTTCCTCCAGTTACTCTATCCTGAATAAATTCGTCTGTAAAGCTAAACAAACAACAGGAGTTAGTCGCGATTCATAGCCAATCGTTTACATTAACGAAGCCGCCACCAAGGAAAAGAACAACGCAATACTGACAAAAGCTTTTTAAGTGATAGTATCATAAAACTGACGAAAAACAACAAACAAGGAAAAAAGTGCATATCCAAGAAGTGTCATTGACGCACCAAAGAAGAGAGAAAAACTTCATAGCACAGCTCAAATACATCGTCGGAGATTTATAATAATATTTTTTTCGCTGTCGAGACACAATTCTCGTCTCTTCTGACTAAAAGGATTGACTGTCGCTGAACTTTTCGCTTTGTGAACAATTTTGTTAAACAAATGAAAAAAAGGTAAGCAGAAATCACGCAACGAAGCATTCACAAAAAAATTCGAGGATTTTTTCACATTGTTGAGGTTAACGCTGGGAAAGAGAGAAACGAAAAACACAGGAACACGTTTGAGGTTATAAATTGGCTTGGTTGTAATCAGTGACACCGACGTGTCAGAGGATCGTTAGAAAAAGCTCGGCTGGAAACAAGGTGGAAGATTTTTCCTGGTTATAATGGGTCGCTAAGGAGCCGAAGAAAACCGGTTGAAGTAAAAGGGAAACTCTAAACTAGCGGTTTATTCTACTTAGGTACATCGAAACAATAGAGAAACAAAAGAAGGGACTCGAAGATGACAAGCTTTCATGTTATTACCAGTGATTTGTTACAACTATTTGCCCAAGGTAAACCGGCCGGAGATTTATATAAATATCTGCGAAATTAAGCAGTAATGGTACTACAGGCTTTGATTAAAACGCAGATGAATTCAAGCCAATTAATTTCGCATCGCAATTAACACAACAATGACATGACATAACCCCAGTAGTGGGTACAAAGTTTGTTCTGATAACCACCAACTGGAAAAACACTAATAGTTAAAAGCAATAACTAGTGACGAGGGCTGGGACTTCACTGACGCTTGGGAGCTTGGCGTGCTTCTGTCACTACTTACGCTACTGCCGGGGGTACTCCTAGAAATTCTTGGTGGGGGTGTGCCGCGCGGTTCTTGAAATCCTGACCCGATTTCAAACCAAAAAATGTAATTTTCTTCAACCGTTTTCACACTAGACCTTTAAAATCCATAAAGGTTTTCAGACCTGGCCTTTAGGCAGAAATTATGGTATCACTACTTACATTCGAACGCAAACAAAACAATTATTCAAATCCATTTCGAATTCGCATATTTCTCTTTATTTCTTACTCATCTGGAATTGAAACGATAAGTACATTCATACACTCGAAAAGTTCCCTCGTTCCCTAGTTCCCTAAGTTCCCTCGAAAACCGTACCCGATTCCAGACCAAAATGGGCAACGTGTATACCCGTTTTCAAACCAAAACGCGCAAAAACCCTAACCGATGGGGCGGCACATACCCATATGGCTTTTAAAAGGGAGTAGCCCCCCCCACCCCCGGGCGCTACTGCGGCTGCAACTACTGCTCCTATAAATTGTGTACTGCTGCTACTGTGTGCTATATCTGCTTCCACCTTGCTGCTACTACCACTTACTACTACTACTGCTACCGCTACTTCTGCTCCAGTGACTACTAATACTTACTATACTGCTTCTGCTTCTGCTTGTTATGCTACTGGAGACCTTAAGGTTACACTACAGTAAGACTATGACTCCGAAATTGAGCACAGATTTGCCATTGAACCCTGAGGTAGAATTTAAATCTTCTTAGTTTCACTTAGTATTTCTGATGCGTATTGCATACGATGATGCTGCCGGGATTCAATCAATCAACCAAAGTCTTTGCCACATTCAATGTCTAGCCGGTTCTCGGGGCCTACTCATGTGCAAAGCGCAAACATTTTCCTATTTACAGTACACGCTCAATGATTAACAGTAAAAGATTCCGGCGGTACATTAGCTAGGATACATCCAGCAAATAGAACAGCTTTTGCGGGCTTGAAATAACATGCTTTCCGGACGTTGGAACAAAGCACGCAAAATGTTGCCTTTAGAAGGTCACAAGCCTCTCATTACCTGTAACTCGACTTCAAACTTCCGCTTTTCAAGTTCCTGAACGTACTCAAAAAACCGTGTACTTTGTTCCGTGTTTGTTTGGTTCTATTTTAGGTTTAGGGCCTTAAGTTCACCTTCAAGTGCCCTGGGGCCTGTTTCTACAAAGTCCCCGTAACTTTTCGGGTCTGAGATCAAATCGGTCCATTTTCTCTCATTAAATGATGTTTTTATCATGTCTTATCTCGATCTTGAATATCAACAAAAGCTTTTTCCGGGCCAGTTAAGTATTGGGACTTTCGAGACAAGAGTCCCTGGGCGGTGAAACTTTCAAAGCCGTCCACACAGGGGCTAGATACGATCAACTGTGTAAAGCAAACTAACAACAGGAATTCAAATTCTGTCGAAGATCGCAATTCCCCTTCGAACCACAACACTCTCTGTAGAAGGCCTTTTTAAGGGCAATTTTACGAGGATATAACGGTTTGAGGTCTTTACACACACACAAAATGCTGCTGTAGTGTTTTGAAGAAGATATCAAACAAATATAATTTCATCAGGAAACAATAACCACAATTTTGGGGGTTATTTTTGCAGGGATAGCATTGACGCTTTAAAAAGTTTCAGTCCAAGTTACATCCTTGCCATGGGAGTTGCAACAGAACACAAGAAACAGTTTCAAGTCTTAAATAACAAACTAGACCATTAACCCTTTTACTGCCGAATGTGGCCAAAGACAAATTTCGACCAAATTTCCAAATTTCATTTTCTAAAATTTTGACAAACAAATATCACCAAGTGTAAGTACAGACAGAGAGCTTTCATTTGAATGGTCACATCATAGGATTTCGTCCACAGACTCAAAAGTTAGAGTCACCTTACAAAACTCTATCAAACACTCTGGCAGTGAAAGGGTTAATCAGTTTGAAATTCAACTGATGCGAAGACAAGTTCTAGCTTTTTAAAAAAAGATGACAAATGGCGTAACATAGCCTTTTTAATTAAACTGTAAAAAGATATAAGCATAGCTGTCATCGAGTTCTTTCCTTTCTGGCCTTTCCTGATCAAACGTCGCTAAGAGACTAGCTTGCACTGGCACAGCATTCACTGCACGCTTCCAATAATACTACACTGATCGTATGAATCGAGTATGAAGCAATAGCAGGCGAACATGCCTCTCCCACGTGAAAGAAACTAGCAACTCAATATTTGGCAAGCCGATAATTATCCTTCCCCGCTCCAATCGGAAAAACATTGGTTTCGGTCCGAATCGCTTGGCCGAGGTGTCTCCTATCCCGGCATAACGCTCTCGATACGGAGTACCAGCTAACCAGGCTAGCTGGGTTGACCCGTAATCACAAAGTTGATTTTTGTTGCGTTTAGTTAACTTATTTGCCTAAAAGATAATCAAGCGGGTACTCGCACGAGCGAGCGCGAAACCTCAACGCCCCGAATCCTCTTGCGCGACCCGATTTGAGCGTGAACTTCTGCTTGATTACTTAATACTCCACAGGCTTTACCAAAGCCAGTTTTTGAAGCGATCGGGAAGGGCTGGGAAACCTCGTTTCCAGGTTTTTTTCTCTTCGAAAATGTGAGCCGCCCCTCCCATATCACTGCGACCAAACGAGAGAAGTAAGTAATTCAAAGCTAAGGTTGCTGCTGCTTATACTGCTAAAAGTTAAAAGATATTACAAACACCCTGATGGTTTACTAAACTTTTACAGGTGTTTTTGTCGACACAATTTTCCAACATGATTTTACTCAGGTGCGAAGCGTTTTCAACGAAAAAATAAGCTCAAATTTTTAAGAAAAAATGAACAGATAGTTATGTTAACGAATTAAAATATACATCTTTGCCCATGTTTAATACACTTACTGGTAAATGAGATCCCACCAATTACAACAACAACAACAACTAAGCCTTAGACATTTGATCCAAACTTGTCCCGCCTAGGGCTCCTCCTTTGGGGCGAGGTTGCGTTTGACCGCAGGGCCCTACGAACGAGGTTGGAGGCCTGGTGTAGTCGAACACAAAGCTTCAAGGCTGCATCATAAACGCTTCGGGCAACAACGCGAGTGGTTATTTCGATACAGTCCGTAAAGCTTGCCCAAGGATAAGAACTGAATTATGTGGGTGAAATTTATCAGGGCGGCTTTGCGAGAATAAAATCAGTGACATATACCAATACTCTGTGTATCTGTGCTTTTGTTCTACATCAAATTGTAACATGGAATTACTACACTGCTAGAAATTGAATTGGGGCATGATGTACACGATTATTCCCAAAGAAGGATTGTATGGTAATTTTACTTTGTGACCATCATAAAATTATCGGCCTTTTCGGAAATTTTCGCTCTCCGAAAACTTGACAACCTGTATTTAATTAAGAAATAAATTTTTTTCCTCTCCCACGGAGATAGGCGCCTTGCTCTCCTTACGGCAGGCAGAGGGCAGAATTCTGGACTATTGAGTTCCATTAATTAAAATAGTTACCATAACCATCTGTAAATCGCAAAAAATGGCCCAGACCCTCAAGGTGTGGCCACTTCCGAAAAGCTGCCAAAAACTGAGTACCATAGGAGCCTTGTAATCCGTCACTTAGAAAAGCTTAAGGCTTAACTGAATGATAACGATCATAAGCCAAAATAGTGTCACTAAACAACCATATACTGCCTGTAACGATCAAGTGCTTTCATTTCCGACACTTTCATTGGGACATCGAAACAGAAACAAACGGACCAACCAGATGCTTCACATATAATTCTTCTACTGTGACCTTGCAAGTAAAACATTGCTACCACGAAGAAGTGAGGCCTTAAAATTAACAAATCTTAAAAACTCAAGCACAGTAACGTGTAAAGGAGGTTGGAAAATAGTCCTGCAAATTCTGTAAATGTTTGAATGAGCGAATGGGTCTCTTGGATATTCAGTATACTCACGAATTCGCGAACCACAACACAAACTCAAAATCTCTGTTATACATGATATATTTACGGTTCATGATAACGCATTATTCTTAAGATCACCAGTGACGGGTTATCCCTCCTAGCCTAGAACTAAATTTTGAAAAACTACGGTAACTCATGAGATTTGTTGCATTTAAAATTTTGTTTAGTAGTGACTTTAAGTTAAACCAATCATCAACATCCTGGCAAAAAAAGCAAATTTCGCACGGTAATTTTGACGACTGCGAGTTGACAAGATAGGCCCCGAAAAATTAAAGGCGCAACAAAAAACTTATTGCTGCGTTTGTTTATGAAAATAAATATTTCATTGTAACAAGTTTGATTATTCAATTTTTTGCATGTTGTCAAATTAAAGTTCTGACGATGTCACAGCGTTGCGATGCCAACCGAATCTATGTTCACAAGTCTTCTGTTCCATTCCTGGCATTAAGTTGTTTTTTAACAGTGAATTAACTGACGCAGTTTGACCAATAAATTCTCCATAAATAAAGGTACCTCTCTCGGGTTCAAACTTCTTAGGAAAGGTCAAATTATTGGGTATTTTTTAAATGACACAATACGATGAGAAAGGCGTCAGGTGAGCTCTGTTATTCACAGATTGTTACTAAAAACAATAAAATAAACAAAGACGGACAAACTTTAAGAAAAGAAATTTCTAGATTTTTACAAAGACGAAGAAACATCGTAAGAGTGTGATTTTGACGAGTCAAACTTCATTCTGTCGAGTACTTGCGTCATACTAGCAAAAGCTACACCTGTCAAACAATTAACTTGTTGAAATAGCTCTTATGACGTCACCGGATTGTCGTAAATCAGTCAAAACCATTTGACTTTTCACTTCCGCAGGGGGGTGTACTGAAGTTCTAGTGCAAGGATGTTGGCCTGTGGATGAAGGCCTAAAGATACAACCACTCCAAAGAATACTTCTTAACAGAAGCTAAACAACTAAAAATTTTAAATTTGAGCACTCGAGAGAGGCGACACGGTTAGACCTATTTTAAAATCTCACATTTATCAATTTTTATAGTAATGGTGAACATTATTCAATAACCCGCCCACGCCTAAGTTAAAATCCCTACGCTGCTTACGCACTAACAACCTACGACGAAAATCAAACGAAGTAAAATGCGTGGGACATGAGCTGAAGAAGACTACTTCCTCTTCAAAAATAATTAATGGCGCTCAATTTTACTCTGGAATTCCAGGAGTTGACGCACTAAAGGTTTTTTTAGCTGAACACTTAGAAACTTATACGTAAAACATCAAAAAAGGTTTTACTACTCAGATCTGGGTAGTGCTTCTGATTGGTCGGATGGAATTTCTACGCTCGATCCTCAGACGTCATTTGGTGGGGAAACCAGTCGGCTCAGTCTCCAGCCCTGAGTGTCTGGGTGGGCTCGGGTTACTCCCTACCCGGGTGGGGAAACCAGTCGTGGCGTCGGCGATATGTCGACTGTTTTCACACACTAATCTTAAGAGTTTTGTGTGGTAACTTGAAACAGCTGTTATATACTCTCCGCTTTCGAACGCATCAGGATAAAAATCTGTTTTTGAATCGAAGAATGGCAAACACTAAAGGTGCGTTCCATTGGGATGATCCGGATTAGGATCAGTGATCCGAGATCACTCGGATCATGATGCGTCAAAGGAACCATTGAATCCATTCTAGGAAAGTATTCATCGGTTCATTTGATCAACGTGATCCGAGTTCACTCGTATCACTGATCTTGGATGCGGATCATTCCAAGGGAACGCACCCTAAATTGGCCCAGCAAAGTCAAGAGGTAATAAAGGAAATAAGATCATCTTAGTTATAGACGCAGCTTTTGCAGTTGCCAAAAAAAAAAACCTGAAAAAATTCAGGCTATTACGGGATTGGAACCCTTGACATGTGCGATACCAGTGCAGCGCTCTACGAATTGACCACTACAGAAAATACCATAACATACCGTAATACTCTTTGTTGGTCACTCCAAAATTTTGCATCAGCACTGTCTTCAGTTTCTCTTGGGAGTTAAAATGGCCCCAAGAGAAAATGAAGACAATTTGAGGTGACAAACGAAGAGCATTATGGTATGTTATGGTATTTTCTGTAGAGGTAAATTGAGCTAACAAGCCAACTGAGAGCAGCTCCCAGTTGGATTGTTAGCTCCACTGAGCCTGTTGGTTTAATTGATACAACACTGCACTGGTATCGCAGAGGTCAAGGGTTCTTAACGTACGTCACGCATTCCGGGAGGAAGAAACGGCGACGCCAGGAACGCGTGACAAAGCCCTAGAGTAGGAGCCACGTCTCCCGCGCAGAAGTTTTTATGTGTCGTCACGAGAACGGCTGCTTGGGAGACTACGAAGAAGCCTTAAAGGAGCTATGTCACGCTAGTAGCTATCGTTTTAAAAAGTTGAAACTCGTCTTTGCATTAATTAAATTTCAAAAATAAAAGCTCAGTTTTGTTAGGCATTGAAACTGTTTCTTGTCTCCTTTTGCAACGGATGGCAAGGATTGACAAGGATTAAAACTTGAAACGGATGGCCCAACTTTTCAAGTTTTAATGCCATGGCTGCAAAAATCACCCAAAATATTACTATGGTTAGTTCTGCCTGACCAAATTCGTTTGATATCTTCTTCATAACTCTTCAGGAGCATTTTATGTATGGGTTAAGGAACTAAGTAACGCCTACAGCACAAAATTGACCTCAAACAGCAATATCCTGGTGACATGGCCCCTTTAACAAGTCAACGAGTGAAATTCGAAATTTGGCTTGTCAATTTAGTTGGTAAACACATTTTGCAACCGGAAAGCCGAAATTTGGAGAGTTGGTCCTTTGTCGGTGTGAATCAGCAAAAAAGTGACACTGCTTTATTTCTGAACTGATAATTTATTTCAACGACGTAAGCTACTTACAAGTTACAACATTCTTCCGAACAAATATTTAACGTATTCTTCATCACGAGAGATACGGTAATTTAGCACAAACACAACTTTATCTCTACTTTGTGCAAATGTAACTTGTAACACTCCTCCGCCGAGACTCGGAGTTTGAGGAGAGTCCGCTGAAAAAAGTGACTGAAGACAACGAAGAGACGCTGTACTCCACACTTTGCTCAGCAGTTTTTCATCTCCACAAACTAAACGAGTGTCTGAGGAGGAAGGCCTAAAGCTATTTTATCAAAGTGTAAATCGGTTAACAACGATATAATTACGCGAACATCATCAACAAATGAGAGGACACAAGACATATAGCAATTGCTTTAACTAGGACGACACTTTTTACATGATGCAGCAATTTTCTAGACTGTTCCCAGTCCCCTATTTTCTCGTTTGATCGCCAGGATCGAGCACTGACCGGTACGGGCGGCCATCTTGGTTTCATATGTACCGAGGGGGGCAGGCTAAGTAGATTTGACCCTCATCCAAAATGGCCACCAGTAACGCAAAGTCTTCGATCTCCACGATCTTACAGAAAAATATGGGACTGGGAACACTATAGCAATTTTCAAAATTTTGCTGCTTGGAAAGGCGATTTTGATTGCAAGAAGACATGAAGAACTAACAAGAGATAAATCAATCACTTCACTGTTTTGTCAATCCGGATAGGGCATTATGTAAGTGCATGTTATGACACACTAAAAAACTGAAGATGCGATGTTGAAATACTGCCCGTTTACTTCGTTTAGTAAGCCTATCCGATTGGCGTAATTGTTTTGTTTTGTTTTGTTTTTTTGCTTGGCAGCCTAACCTCCGAATGTGACATCATTCCGTCCAACGTGTGAATCGGTGGGACGCAACTACGAAGGAGCGTTTACCAAACAATTGTTCCGAAAAACAAGCCTACCTGTTCAACTCACTGTCTTACTGAGGGTTACCTTTTAGCAACTTCCCGCCATGTTCCAGCTGTGCAGAATGACGTAACACCAAGAGGCCAAGCTCCTGAGCAGAATCTTGCCTGTAAAACCGGCGGTACTTTTTTCGCGTTTTCAGGCGACCACGAAGCAATGTGGAGCGCGAGACGCGCACGACGGGCGCAGGTCTCGCGCTCGCCAGAGAACGTCAAAAAAGCGCCTGCTTTGCGGGATAAGCAGCATGCAACAAGGCGGCTAACAATGCTGTATTTTCATAACTTTTGGAGGGGAGTTTCATTAGTAATTACAGAATAACGTGCTTTCAGGAGTGTTATATCCTTATAGACAAAACACGGAGAAGATTTATTTCCTGTGGGAAGATCACGTCTTTTACTCTGTGCTTAGATTAAGAACTACTTTTCTTCAGTTTCCAGTTCGTAAAACTTTAAAACTGGGCTCAGTAAACCACCTCTTGACAAACGACTAGTTCAACGGATGGATCAATTTTGGCCAATTTATATGATTATTAATTTTTTTTTTCCTTACAGCAATTTAAAACTACCCATATTACGATCGTTCAAATGAAGATGAAGTAGTTTGATTGGACATAATATTATACATTGCACTCGCTATCTGTCGTTTCATTGGCTAACAGCTTACAGTTATTTTTGAAATCAGCGCAAACTACAGATAAACTACAGCTATCTGCTAGCAGATAACTGACTACAATGTAATCTGTAGGTTGCGCGCGCAATGCATGATTTTTTAGAACAATTTCAAAATGTGTTCCATGCGAAGGTGTTTTCGTCGCAATTTTCTTCAAACAATGCGTAATAAAATCATTATTAGATTTGGTTTTCGTGATATCCTATCCGGAATAATCAAGGTAAAGGTGGTTGTTATCGGCATAGACTGATAACACTTACCAGTACCTTGATTATTTCCGATATCACAAGAACCTAACCAAAACGTTGACTTGAAATATTCACTGCCTTTCTCTCCTTTAGGTCAGTTAATCAAGTTATAGTGAAGTAAATGTTAAATCTTTCTTTTCATGTCCTTTTAACTGTTAGTCGACATACTCGAAATTCGAAAAACGGGAGCTCAAAGTAAGATTTAAAAAACTGCAATCTACTGTTGGCCAGCTCGGCATTCGCTTTAAACATTGTCACATTGAACAACTGAATCACAAGTCCAGTTATTCACCTAATTGAATACTGAATTGGCCGCTCCAGAAGCTCTAACTTTGGAGGTTGTGACCAGCTTTCAGGGCACTAAAATTCTGAGGTCGTTTCAGCAAAGGCAAATTTATCTTTAACCGATCATCAATCATACTGGTTCCACAGACGACCCAAGAAAATCACGCTGAAAGGTGCTCAGTTCATTAAGGGGATTCTGGAGGCGAGAACTACCCCGTTTACAAATAAAAATCATTTTAATTTTTTCATAGGGGAACTTTAAAAAGTAACACAGAATCCTACTACTTTGACACGAGATTCTGAAATCCAGAAACCATTGTAAAGACTTCTATGTCCAACTGCCAACTTTTCTAAAAGCAATTTTATTTCCGTAAATACTGCCTAAACGAAAGAGTCTCCCCTTCGAAACGACAAAAGGTTCTTTTGTAAAAAAAACGTTTGTTTTAAAACAGACAGCCCCTCGTACCGGCGCCAAACTTGAGAGAGCTACCTCCTTTGGCACAAGGAAACGTCCACATAAGTTTTACGAAATATGAGGAAAAGCGTGATATCAAATATCACGTCGAATGCCAAAAGTTATCGCAAAATCTAAATGAGCCACACCTCACGGATTGTAGGAACAATGTTGATGTTACGTTTTCATACTTTAAACATTTTTCAGCGCGCTCCACAAACTCATCTGGACTGCGTTCAATCCAGTCGAGTAAAAATAAAAAATAATATTTGTTTAATAATCTCCATACCTTAATGCTCACGGAGTCCAACACCAAACGCGCATAAAAGTCCGTAAGAAATCCAGTAGGGCTACATTAGACCCAAAGCCTTTAGTGCCACGCTCGCTGCGGTCTGTTCGGATCCCTTTTTGGTATTGCAACTGGTACTTGAGTAGGTTACCCCTGCCACATGCACGGTGCATGTAAATACGCCGTTTTCACGATGGCTGAAGTACACAGGCATGGCTATCTTGGACTTCTGGCAGTACTCTTGCAATGTGTTCTTGTGTGAGGTGAAGGCAGTGGTCGGTTTTTCTATGACAGTCGCTGCCGATACCGATGGCTGCGTCATTGGTGTGGTAATCTTTTCGACTATTGGACTAGAGAAACGCGTGATTGTGGCAGATGCCGTGCTTTGGACTGTCAACGCAGGATTCGTTTGGGATGTAGAAGCAGGTGTTTGTCCGGCTGCTGGTGCTGGCGCCGATGGTAAAGGGATCTGCGCCACTGCTACAGACGCTGAAAATAAACACAAACCAATTATTAATCACTGGATTTCTTTACATCTTGACGGGATTTCACTTTAGTGATCAAACAAATTCACATTGTTTTAGTTTGCAATACTAAGCCTATATCAAACAAGTAAGGGGCCGTTCATTTTTTTTTTTCAGGAGGTGGGGGGGGGGAGTGTGGAAATTGGTGGTTTTGAAAAACCGCACATGGAACCCGGGGGGAACTCCGCATATGAAAGGGGTGGGGTTGCTCGTCGGAAATTTTGAATTAAACCCCTCAAGGAGACCGATCTCAGCGTGGCCCAAGCTTTTTTTGACCCTAAAAGAGACCATGTTAAAACACAGACTATAATATTTTTATATTTTTTTCACGTGCAACCCTAAACAAGACCTTCACGGCTAAATATGATGGTGTTTTGCCCAGGACACCCTAAGTGAGACCAAATTCGAAATTTACACCTCTAAGCGAGACGACGAGCATCCCAACGCCCTTTCATATGCGGAGTCCATCCCCCGGGATAAGGAGGAAGATCATCCGTAAAAGAGTTTCACTCAAAGGAGGGCGCACACAAAAAATTTAAACACGTGGTAGAATAGAAGTCGAAGTGACGTTCAGATTGTTACTCAGTTTAATGGACACTAGAAACTACGAGAAAAGGGCACTCTTGCATTCTAAGCCCGCTCTGCGCTATGCCTTACTCCCTCAAGCTTCCAATAACAGCGAATTCGTAGTTCAGGATAAACTGTTGATAGGATCAGGCGTTGAAAAGTGGCTTAAGCTAATCCATTACATTTTTTTTTGGACTGTGGATCTTACATCGAAACACTGAACGCTTGAATTCTAGAAACTGGGACTCAAATAGACAGGGAATATAATAAAATATTATTTTCACTTACACTTTACACTTTAAGAGGGATGAGCAAAACCAAATAAATAACTCTTGCAAAGCTGTTGCAGACGACAATCACACCTTTCATAATTTACTAAAATTAACAACTAAGATATAAATACTTTGGCTTTTAATAATAAGCACGCTTCCTGTTCAAGAAACCCCCCTTACTCAGTTCGATACCTGTGATAAACAGTGCATTCCAAACCCTGAAAGGCGCACGCTGTCGACACCGCGAAATACCGGTACATAGGAGATACTCCAAGTTAAACAAACAACAAGCAGGAGTCATTCACGGACGATACAGTGGGATCGCAAAATCTAGACCAAACAAGGTCTCTTTCATAAGACATCTTGCGATACTCAGACAAATCACTCTGTCTAGACGCTGCTTCAGACAATAATTATGAAAGGATGTTGTCAACCCGATTAAAAACTTGACTCTGACAAATAACAGACCCAAATATTAACCTGTCAATTGCTAACAGAGGCTAAATAAAGAAAAATAACCTCAAAAAACTCGTATTCAGTAAAGGTTCATCCCTGCGAAAGTGGGTTTAGCTGAATGGTAACAGCATAGAATTTCATGCACGGATTTAAAATAAATAATCTTGCCATAACTTGGCCTGAAACTATTTTCAGGCCAAAGTGGATAATTGTATTTCTCTAATGCACCATCAATTCCAAAACCGCCCTTTCCCCTTTCCGGAGGCAAATTCCGAGCATTGACTTTCGTGTCAAAACGTTAGTTGGCCGTTGAAAAACAAAAGGATTTCGTGAGGAAAAAAAATTTCTTTCATTCATTTTATTTTTTGTAACTAGATGAGAAACTGAAGCGGTAAAAAGGCAAATATAAATAAGTAAAAACGTACAATGAGAATTACGGTTATTACCTAGCCTGCGTAGCAGCGTTTCCAGTGCCCCCCCCCCGGGGTTTCCTTGTAGTTTCAGAGCTAAGAACGAGGAACGATGTTGAAAGACCGCGCGAAAAATGGCGCGAGTGAAAGAGCGGGGAGGGAGTAAAGGGAGGGAGTGGGGAAGAAAGGTAAGGAAAGGCTTCCTTTCCCTCCCCGTCTCCCTCTTTCATTTTTTGGCTCTCGTTCCATTTCTCGCGCGGCCAAACCTAAAATTCCCTTTTCTCGGTCTTTTTTTGCTCCGAAACCAAACTGAAACGCTTGCTACGCAGGCTAAGAAATACCTATTGGCAGGGTTTCCGTGCTACATGAACAGCAAGCCATGTTTGTTTCTTGCCCAGATTAACAACGTTTCATAATTATTTCGGTATCAGGAAGAGCGAGAAACGATTAATCACTGTATTTGTTTACGGATATATTGTCAGTTTATAATATTCACCATCTTGTTGGAGCATTTGAGAGCCTTTGAAAAAGCCCGTTAAATGTGGGCTTTCTGAGCGAACAATTTTATTGAAATGAGCAAGCTTTTCGAAACTCAAGATATTTCGGTTGTGTTTAGTAGTACATTTGAATAAACGGTTGGACGCATAGAACAATTTTTGAATAGTCGTTTTAATACCTGGTGGGTGGGGGATTTGACGCTTTTTGAAGCGCTAGCCAGTGGGACTGGGGCATTTGACCATCTAACTCAACTAACATAACGGGGAATTTGACCGAAATTTTACAAAAAGTCAAATGCTCAGGGGTTTACCCGGTAGCCAGATGGGCGGTTTTGAATTTGACTGCCACATAAGCTGTGACCCTCGAAAATTTCAAATCGTTGCATTGAAAATTGCTACTAAATTCGTTTTCTTTTAAACAAAAAAGGGAAAGTACATTTTCCAGGTTGTTCGCTACCATGAGGGAAGGGGGCGCGGGTGCATACTAAAACATATTTCCATGAAACCTCTAAAGGTCAATAATATATTATTTTATGTGGATCAAGATATAGAAATCACAACATTCTAATGCTTTCAAAGGATTATTAACTTTTCAAGATCCGTACTTTAGGAAACAATGCTGCACAATTCAACTGATCAACGTTACTTGAAGAGATTAAAAAACATTAATTTAAAATTGACAGGAATTATGATCGTACGGCTAGTGTAGGAGCACTACTTGATGAGCTAGGATGAAAATCTCTTCAAAGTAGAAGGAAAACAATGAGACTCTGCAAAGTTGTATAAGCTGCAGTATGGCCGTGTGGCAGCAGACTGAATGCCGCAGCTAATCCCAATGCGGTGGGCTAGCAGGCAACTGAATTCAAATGCATACAAACTACAATAATCAAGAACTAACTATCACATGAACTCTATTCCACTTTTTTTAAACTCTCTTGATATTTTTGCTGAAAGCATATTTGTTTTGTTGAGCTTGCTACAGTTATGAGAATAAACGAGTCTTCAAATGCCTCCTATTTGTAAATCGCCCCTGCTTGGACCCCTAAAATCAAATAGACGCCCTGGGGCATTTATCAGGTCATTTAAGGTAACTATGTTCGTTTTTACAGGCCTCATATTGTTTTGGATAATATTCTATAAAGATACGTTGTTACTCACTTAAAAGGCCTTGCAGGTTTAGAAACAACAAGAACTTACTTGTTAAGGAAGTAGTCGATGCAGATGTCCCCGTAGAACTGGACTGCGCTGATTGTGAACTCAGCTGCTTACAACGTTCAACAAAATCCTGGCAGTTAGGAGGGGGTGCTGGACACTGGTTCAACATGTGTAAAACTACTTGAGCAGCATTCTGTTCAGCCAGCTTCTTAGTGGGCTGTGGGCCATTGCTTTGATAAACTTTCTTGTTGAACACAATAGTTGTGATGAAGCCTTTTCCTGTTTCCGTTTTTACAGTGTCGTAGGAGGGAAGGGAAAGGCGAAACTTCTGACAGAATTCATTTAATCTGCTCTTGTAAGAGGTGGCCACGGGAGAAGAAGACTCCAATTTGATCCGCTTGCCAGATGCATCTTCTATAACACTGTTGTCTACAGCGGGTCTTTTAATTGCTGCAAGAGAAACAAGGATTTAACAAAAGTGACCAACATCAATATTATTTTCTCCTAATTTCCATACATTTTCAAGAGAAAAGGATACAGTCGAAGTTCTCCTTGTGACCACTCTTCCAAGCGACCAGCTCCAGTTAACACCACCTTTGTGAAACCCCGATTGAACTGCGACTTAAACTTTGTAATGAAAAGCTCTTGTAAGCGACCGCTCCTGTAAGCAACCGCGACCACTTTTGGGATTACCCAACTGGACTTTTCCTTGGTTTTTAAGCTCTCGAAAGCAACTGCTTAGAGTACTTATTAATATAAATCAACACTTTCATGAAACTGCACACTGTGCTAATGGTTTGTTGATTAAGATCTTGTACAGTGCATCAGAGTGCAGTTCTGTATTTGGGGTTATTTTGTTCTAAAAAATTTGGATGCAAAGATAAGCTGTGTCTAAACATAAATTGCTTTTAATTTTCTTTATGAACGAGTTTCTGATGCTCTTGTAAGCGACAACCCTGTACTGTTTTACCATGTAAAACAATATGCGGTAGCTTACCAGAGCTCATTCTCATAAGCGACCAGCTCTAGATACCACCACTTTTTCAAATTTCCCAGGTAGTCACTTAAGAGAGCTTTGACTGTATGCGAATTAATAAACTGATCACCACAAAGAAAATACTTTGATCTTTCACTAAATTCACGAGCAAATAACATCATGGCTTAACTGACAGATGACCAATAACATCATGACTTAATCGACCAATCAGGTCAATAAGTTTCATACCATCAACAGATGTGATACAACTCACTTTGACTCTGAAGATGACTACCGCACAGGTTGTTGAAACGTTAGTCACTGTCAATGATACTCCTATTTAGGACTATGTTCACCTGGACGATCATAATCAACCTACTTATCGAATTTTCTTAAGTAGTCTATTGAGAAAATGTATAAAGATAAGTTTGGATAATTTGTAGGTGGATGTTGGTGCTTAAGGACTAACTACTAAAAGTGAATTTTTACCTCGATAATGGGCTTGGGCTAGTAGAATGAGGGGTTGATATAAGCAAAAAAAAATCATTCAGCAAACAAAATTCAGGAACTTTGATGATTATGACAAGAAAAATTACGTGTGGTGCACTTTCTATGTTTGAAGTACTAAAGTGAAAAAATAATATACAATGTACCTGCAGCAGTTTTGACATCGAATGGAACTGTGGAGTCAATCAATCCAAGGCCTACCAAGGCATTGTACGCTGCATTCTGCTGTGCTTCTTTCTGATCTCCTTGGACTCCAGTACTTTTAAAAGTGTTTCCAGCTACTTCCACTTTGGCTGCATAACCATAGCTGAACTTCCAAGACTTGTAAGCAGGAACTGGTAATTGCTGTTTTTGACAACATTCCTGAAGACTGTTCTTGAATGAAATGAAGTTTAACTGCCCAGGAATAGCAGCTGGAAAGCGATATTGAAAAAAAGTAGAATTCAAACCTCCCCTATCAAATTATAAAGAGGTAGCACAACAACCACAACTACAATTATGTAACAAAATATTATTTTACAATAACTGAACAACTTCTTGCATGCTAATTGGTCGAGAGCTTTGTTCGATGAGAGTACAGACCATGGGAATGACGTGATGGTGGCGCAATTTGTTTTTGTCCTTGTCGTGCTCATAAATTTCCCAGAAATGTTGATGGAAAACAACATTAAAAACTGTCAATGTTATCGTAAAAACCAAATCAACAAAAAATTCCCGTGGCCTGTAGCTCATGGTTCACTTGAGTATTGACCATTCTGATGTCATTTCTATGGTTGATAAGATTACAGACCATGAAAAATTGTGATTGATTTGATAAATCTATACTTGCCAAAATAAGTCTTTAACTAGCCTTAAACACTTAAGTCTTAGCCTTTGGTCTCATGGTCTTGCAAAGTCATATCTCCAGGGTGCAAAGAAATTCAGTTTTATAGCCTGCCATTCAGGCAAGCTGTAGCTAGCATGTGCTAGCCTACAAGGCATTTCAACTAGCCCCAAAACCCTTTATGATTAGCAAGATTGATTACAATCCTTCTGTAATTTGATTTTCCCCGTTGGGCAAGTTAAGAACACAAACCACAAGCCCGATAGCAAAATCCACTAGCCACGGGCTATCGGGCATGACTTTCTTTGCACACTGTATCTCACTTTCAAGTCAAGACTTCTGACAAAAACTTTAAAGTTCCTTGGGATTTTGGTAAGAGACAGCTTTACATATCCCTGTACAGTTGTGGCATATGTTACAGGTTGAAATCAATATCAGGTTAAAATTTCGTAACATGCATTGATTCTCACCTTCCTTTGTCTCATAGCCCTACTTGTATTATTATTCATGAATTAGGGCTAGGCGACAAAGAAAACTGAGAATCAACATAGATTAAGAAAATTTAACTGGGATTTAATTTTGACCTGTGACACATACACTTAAGGAGTATACTTGTGCTTATTCTAACACATAACAAGAACTCTAAAACATTCACATGTTGCACTATTACCCACCTTTCAGCACAGTGTTCTCTACTTTCTTTTGCTCCTTTTTGGCCTTATTTAACATAGAATAACTTTGGTAATTATTCATGTTTGCAGTCTTTGTCGCATTAGTAGTTTGTGGTGTGTTCTCAGTTTGGACAACAGACTGGTTGCTGCTGTTTCCAACATTTCCTGTTTGAGCATCACCTCTTGCTTTATTCAACCACGTGGCTGTTCCACTGTTTGAAGCATTTCCGCCTCTTCCATTTGCCATACCGCGCACTGAACTTGTCCCTCTAGCTGCCCCTCTACCAGGAGTACCCCTGGATGAATTATTTCCTCCTCTAAATCCCCCTCTGCCACTTGACGATCCACGTGAACTAGCAGCTCCTCTTGTTCCCCTGCTATTACTTCCTCCTCTAGTAGCAGAACCCCTTCCTTGACTTCCCCCACGTGAGGTTAAGGCATCACCCCTACCTCGCCCTTGGCTGCCACCTCGCCCCTCTCCTCTTCCTCTTCCCCTGGGTGGACCATTAGAACGAAATGGAGGTGGAGGGGGATAAAAATCGTCATCAGCAAATGATGATGGTGGAGGGCGTCTTGGAGGGGGAGGAGGAGGCAGATCATCATCTCTGAGCCACGGAGGTGGTGGAGTTAACGGTCGATCATACCAACCTCGGGGTGGTCCAGGAGGAGGTGGTGGTGGCGATGGAGGGTAACCATAAGGGTCTCGGCGTTCCCATGGTGGAGATGGAGGTGGTCCAAAGCCATCATAATAATCCGGCGGTGGTCGCGGAGGGTATGGCCCGTCAAAATGTCCCCTTGGCGGAGGTCCTCCCCTTCTTCGCATCAGAAGTCCAGGATGAAAGAGCAAACTAAAAGCCTGGAAAATAATCAACAATACTGCAGTTGAAACAGTTTCCAAATGATACTACATGTAAGATCTAAACTTGGCTTAATAAACAAAACAACGACTTTATTTATTAACATCATAGTAGCTTGTTTTATAGTTACTCAAAAGAGTAAAATAGTCTGGTAGTCAAAGCACCTGAAAAAATCTATGGCCTTCTGAACAAATCATTTAAGGCAGACTTTTCTTTTGGATCATAATTGTTTATATCTTAGCATGCAATTGCCAGTTCATTCAAAGTAGATTGTTGAGAGTTTTTTTGTTTTGTTTGCTTTTCGGTATATTTTGATTACACATGAGGCTCCAAGACAAGATTGGCATCTTTTATGAATGATGGACTCTCTCTCTATTGCACCATTGAAACAAATCAGTGGACAAAGCAGTCTAACTGAGGCAATAAGTATATTAGTGAAAACAAAGACTGGCGTGGAGAGAGAGGGAAAGAAATCATCATAAGTTCAAGATACAGGTAAAGCCTTCACCAGCATGCAAAGAAAGTAGTGTCCGATAAACCGGGGCTAGTAGAATTTGCTATCGGGCTAGTGAATTCTGTTATTAACTTGCCCAACAGGCAAGTGATCTTTTTTGAGGAAACTGAATAACAGAAGAACGGTGAAATTAATTCTGCTCTTCAAAAAGCTTTTGGGGTTAGTTACAATGACATCTGGGCTAGTAAATGTTAGCTTCAGCTTGCCCGAATGGCAAGCTGTAAAAATGATTTTCTTTGCACCCTGCCTTCAATCAGATAACTCAACAATAGATAGATTTAGATTCACATTTATGGCAACTGGCAAATGGCAGACCCAAGTTGAGAATTTCTTAAAACAGAAAATGAGCAGATAAAAACAGTCTAAAACAATTTATTCTTATGGATGAATATAATGTGAAACTACCATATTTTTTTGCTTTAAATAAGGCGCAGCATTTTTTCAATGAAAGTTTGCTTGATACATGTAGCTCTATAAAATCTGTTGTAATTTTGGGGTACGTCTTATAACCAAGTATCTTCGGGCAACAACACAAAATCGAGTCAAATTTGTTTACAGTAATTTCTACACTGGAATCTTCCACTTGTTTCAGACCTTTATTTCCCAAAGAAAGCTCCCAAATCTGTTAACAGAACTGTGAGAGCTCTTTTATCTCAGTTATTTTGATAAACAAGGGCCTAATCTTACGGGTTTGGCAGTTAACAAAAAAAATTGTTCAGAGTCATGTATTATACGATCAATTTTCTCTTAATACTACCAATGTATGTACCGATGTCAGTATGCCACAACCAAGACACCTGACTTGTTTATTAACCAAAAACAGATTCCCTAAGTATTCGCAACTTAATAAAACAATGCCGTTTGTGTTGATAGGTGTGTTTTTTTTTCGCTTTTGATCGAAACATGTAACCTTTTTCGCTTTTGATCACATAGGTGAATGGCTGTAACAGGTTGCAAAGAAAATCATTTTTACAGCTTGCCATTCGGGCAAGCTGAAGCTAACATTTACTAGCCCAGACGTCATTTCAACTAGCCCAAAAGCTTTTTGAACAGCAGAATTGATCTCACAGTTCTTCTGTTTTTCGAATTCCTCAAAAAAGATCACTTGCCCGTCGGGCAAGTTGAAAACAGAATTCACTAGCCCAATAGCAAAATCCACTAGCCCCGGGCTGTCGGACACCACTTTCTTTGCACACTGTGTAATCAGCATTGTTTGAAAGCATGCTGTTGTAGTTAAGGTGAACATCACCAAAATCATGGCTGCACATTATAGCCTGGTATTTTGGTTTAATTTTCAGTTTGTCAACTTAGAAAAATCGCACTGAAAAGTTTGGGGAGCATCTTATAACTGAGTGTGCCTTATAACCGAAAATATACGGCACTTATTTTTTTGTTCAAGTAAAGAACAGTTGAAGACATGTGACGGGTAAACTTGGTCATGTGGCAGAAATTCACATTTGACATTTGCCGTAAACATGACTCTAAATCTCTCTAACGCTGTTTAGCAGGAAAAATGCAGGGTTTTACTTTTCACACCTATTGTTTATACAGTTGCCATCACTGTTGTCACTATTGTAGTTGTTTAAACTCACTATTGTTAAACTGTTGCAGGTTCCCTAGAAATTATTGCTGATCAAGTGGTTTTAAGATGATACAGTATGTATTCTTTACAGGATGCAAATCAGCTATTAATTTCCTTTGTTTAATATTTTTGTATTTTTTTGTGGCTGGGTAACAAAGCAGTTAATGGCTGATCTTTTTAATACAGTGACTCCCCACTTTCACCCAGCCTCTATGTTTCCCCAAACTTAGATCTGTCTGTCTCAGAAAGCATCGAATTGTGAGAAACCAAACAGACTGTATATATTATAAGTAAATTTTTGGCTTGAATTCCCCTCTGAACATACAGTGCATGATATGCTGCTATAGGAACAAAGATTAACGACAGCAAACAATACGTCACTCGATTTTAAAAACAAGCATGCAAAATGCTACAAAATACACAGCAGTAGTAACAACAGACCGGCTTTCGAAAGCTCACCTGAACACGTGAATGCAGCCAAGACTGGCTTTCGCTTAGAAATGCGAAAATCCACCGTCTTCAAACCTCGTGCAAGGTACCAAATGATTCAGGGCACTCCTTGAAGCAGCAATAAGTAGATAAATAAAAGTTCTGACAGATAAAAACGTTGTTTTTCGTTTTGAAAAGACCGACACCTGGCCAACAAAATGGCCGACCGGAATTAGCAGATAAAATGCGCATGCGTTAGGGCGAAAGTTTTCTTTCACCTCCCGGGAAGGGACTAAATTGCGATTGACAAATGTGGCGGTTTCGCGGGCAAAGCGAATGTCTTCGGAATCGTAGAGTATTTTTCGCGTTGGCTGCGTTTTTTTAACAGCTTTTAAGCTTATATGGTGTTAAAAAAAGTTTTCGTGAATAATCATCAATCCCTGTTGGATGTCTTAAAGAAAAGAGAGAGTGATTCGTTGCCAGGCAATCTTTGATCGCGTCCTTGAACTTGAAAGCTTGAAGAAGTATCCATTGGTGCAATTTTTTTCCAAATGAAGAAGGCTTCGTCAAATTTAAGTGCTTCCACCCCAAGTGAGATGAGAAGTGAAACGAAAGCAAGGTTAGCCTATTATATAAGTCTCCTTATAGCGAATAACCTGTAATTAGCAAGAATCATCTTCTATAGACTCCTTAAACAAATGAATTTGTAAGGCCGCAGCCTGGAGGCTGCTGTCACTTGCAGACGTCTACTAAGTTTTTTTGTAAAATTTACTGCTATGTAGTCCATAATATTTGTGTAAGATTCAAAAATATGCCATGTCACAGATTCTTCAGATGGCGACTAATAACTGTTTTAAAAACATTGTTTAAAACAGTTGCTAGTCAAAATCTGAAGAATTTTAAAAAATGTCTGTGCACACTGCCCCTTCGAATTCACTGTTTTTCCAAAAATTTAATAATCCCCAATTACTGCTCATTTAAATGACAAGACTCTTAAACAAACACTGTCAGAGCTGACATGCTATCACATACTTTAAAGCAACATCCAAAGAATTATACACATGTCAAGCAAAAATAATAAAAAATATTATGAAAATGCCATTAGAAGTACTTGTCCACACGCCCCCACCCCTTCCCTCAACATTCCTATGGGCTCTTGCATACCTTCTTTTGATTCCAGGTTAAAATTATCCATTGTTAACTTGCAGAAAGGCTTTTTATCGAGTTCCTTCTCAGTTAGCAGTCAATAAATCCTCTACAGTTATTATTGTAACAAAAGTCATGCACTCTCAACAATCTCTAAAGAGGAAATAGAGGGTCTGATAAAAGACTGATTATGAAACAATTAATGCATTAATCATAACTATAACAAAATTCTCAAATCTGATTGGCTATCAACTGCCCTGATTTCAGCCTTAATTGGACTGTTTGATAGGACAGTACGCGTCATGCCTAAGTAATTGGACAGTACGTGCCATCACGCGTGCGCTTAAATGGCTTTTTTTTCACTGCTAGCAAAACAAAATTTCGAATTTCTTGTGTTTTGATTTTAAAAATAGCCTATTATATCACAAATTTTGTTAAAGTTATGATTAATTGGTAACAGAACTTCGTGTCGTCCAATTTGGTCTGTAATCAGACTCGTGATTAAACAAATCGGACTCCTGCTATGCGGTCGTCCGATTTTGTTAATCTCTCGTATGATTACAGACCGAATTGGACTCCACTCAGTCCTGTTACCATTACTAATAGGCCATTTTACAGTTATGGATGGAAGCGAGGCTGGAGTTGACCTTGTTTTGCTACAAACCTTCCTGCTTTATTATGTAAATCAAGTTATTCTTATGCTAACTAGTATTTTTCAATGACAATTTCCATAACAAAGCAAAGGAGGTTTGTATCAAAACAAGGTCACCGTCAGCCTCACATTCACTCGAGGGCTAGGGAGCTAAGTCCACAACTGTAAAATAGTCTATTCTTGGTTTGCAACCACACAACAAGAGAGCCATGTTGTTTGACAAAACAGCTCGAATTGTTTTCACAGAATTTGCAGGAAAAAAGAGTTCAGTTCTAAGTGGGGGAATCGTTGTCGATCTTTTCAGCTACGTTGTAATGTGGCCCCCATGTCATCAGTTGAATCACTTTTTTTGCATGTACTTTCTTTTGTAGAGACCATGAACTGAAAGTCATAACAGAGAGAATTACTCTTGCAGAGAGGCATTTCAACACATTGTTAAAAGATTTTGCAGCCTTAAGCACAGGACTGGTATCTCTGCAAGAAAAAGGCATGAAATTATCCAAAAGTGTTGACCTGTATTCTGATGAGGAATATCCATCAATGAAAGCAAGTTTGGCTGGTGTCAGCGAAAACATAGCTTCATTGCAGGATTTCCTGGGCGCGCAGGTAAAAGTACTAGAATACATTGTAAATATACAGTCAAACCCACTCTTTATGGACACCCACTTAATACAAACACGGCCATAAGGATGAATTAATTAGAGAAAATGTATTAAGGGCTTTCTTTCCCCAGGGACAAAGCCAACTGTCCATAGTTATGTAATAGGTTCCTTCACACCACCCAGTAACAAGTTAGTCAGTTAGTTATATTAGCTTATGTAAATTTTTTGTTTGTTGTTTTTGGTTTCCCCCTCGCTTCACGCTTGGTTTTTATTTTGCATATTTATATAATTATGCTCACCTCACACTTGGGAAAAGAAGTGTCACATTCTGATTTGTTGTTTGTTTGTAAACTTAAGACTAACCCACGAACCATGCTAGGGTATAACTATAGTTAGTCTGTATTGTTTTGGATCACCGAGGTGTAAATTTTCTAAAAAATAGTTAGAGTGAACAAAGACAGTGGTCACATTACTGAAATAGCTAACTGTAGTTATTCCCGTCTTAACTATAGTTAGTTGCCCAGATGTGACCGCAGCCAGTGTCCTCATTAATAGGGGTTTGACAGTTATGAAAATGATAATATTACTTTTTGTATAAAACTGCTTTATTCCAAAGACATCAGTAATAGATAAAACTAGAAATTATTTTTCTCACATTAATAATATTGCACATGATATAGCACAGCCGACGCTAAACTCATGACTACCCAGGCTGGGCTGTGACTCAAAAACAGTTATAAAACTTATAAGGAAATATGACAAAGATAGTGTGGGAAGGGACCTTTTTGTGAGGGGATGGCTCTGTCTTGTGGTTCAAATAAGATCACCCTTTTATAAGAACATACAGTAGCAATATACCACTTTTGACCAAAATGATTCCCCTTATAATAACAGCTTGTAAAAACTTAATAGTTACTTTATTCTCTTTCTTGAGTTAATTAACCTTGTGAAGTACATGTACTCGGATCGATTCTAGGCATCTTTTGAAAAGTTACATATATATGTACTTTGTCCAGCTCTTTTAAAATTAAAGAGTTATTTTCTTGTTATTTTCTATTCCCACCTCTCATTAAATCCCTACAATTTTAGATCCTGCTAGCCCTTTTAAGAATAAGGTACAGGTACCCCTGTCATGAGGAGCATCCCTCAATATTCCCATATTGGGAATATTCCCTAGTTCCTCCCTCCACTGGTAAGATGTTCTATTATAGGAGTATGCCCTCCTCCCTCCAGGTAAGATGTAAACATTTCTTTTGATTAGGATGAAAAGCTGCTCTCAGCTGATTGACCATTAAATAAAAACCAAGTCCTTCTTAACTCAAGTGTTAGGATCTAAACATGTCATATAATAGAAAATAATAATATTTTATTTTATTATATAGACACAAGTCTTTTACTGGAAAATATACCACTTGTAAAATTCATAAAAACTATATCCGGGACGCGAGTGGTTTATTTTCCATAATCTCACTCGTGAGTTTATCAATGACGTAATTTTGGTAATTTCCCTCAGCTCTATTATTTTGTCGATGTCTTTTTGTCTATATAATAAAAAGAACATTACATGGCGGCTTGAAGATATGGATTTTATTTTCTCGTGGCAAAAACAATATTTTATTCACTCGCTGTGCTCGTTCGTAAAATATTGTTTTGCCACTCGAAAATAAAATTCATATCTTCGTGCCACCATGTAATATCCTCTATTTATTTTCAGGCAGAGTTTGTGCATGCAAAAGTTTCACCTCCTCTTTCTCTGAATGCTACAAATTGTAAACATGCCAGAGAATATGTTAAAGAACTTAATGCTACAAGAGAAAAGGAAATACTGAAACGTAAAGCACTGGATAAAGTAAAAACAAAAGAACCAAGAAACAAAGGAAAAATCGTATCCTTACATAAGGCAATGGTTACATATATGGTTTATTAATCTGAAGCAAAGAAACTAATGTTACCCAACTGAGTGTATGTTTTTTTTTTTTCGTATAGAACAAGCAGAATAAATTTAAAATTCAATGTTTAGCTTCAGTCATTACAGATCGTATTGCAAATTTTTGCCTGTTTAGGAGGCAGGTATCATTAGGGACAAGATAGAGCTCAAGCCACTTCCAGATTTGGGTCTCATATCTAGGTTGAAATTTAATCCTACCCCATCCCCACATCCCACATCCCTTCTTCATCAGGGCATCCATTCCACAATCAATTCATTCAAATTGTAGTTATTTAAATCTTTAGCTGCATTGTTTCATCCTTAACTGTTTTCAGTCCCAGGTGGGTTAAAAAAAATTAAGTGCATGATCAACTTTTGCTGTGTCTCACTTTTCAATGATGTACGGAGAAGATGAAACATGGCCTTGGTTGAGGATATGGAGGCACCAGTAAATATTTGCATATTTATATTGGAAGGGTTTTCATGAGATTTAACAGGCACACAAAAAATATTATTAGTCAGAAGAATTTGCTTCTGTAGAAACCATGTGGTAAATACCACATCCAAAAAAAGGACCTCAAAATAAATTATTATATTAATTATAAATCTTTTACCTAAAGACCTCATTATGGGTTAAATTTTTAAAAGAAAATACCATTTACCCAGAACCCATGCGTTAGAATTTAACCCTGGGATAATGTTGGCAACAACAAGTTTCTCAAAAGCCAACAAGCTCTGTTTTCCAAAAGTTTGACTATTATTTTTATCAGGGGCACCCAACGGCAATTTTCGGGAAAATATCTGTTCGGAAGACGATTTGAGATCTAGAATTTTCGGAGCATTTGTTGTAAAATTTCTTGCTTGCCTGCCTCTCGTAGGATTTTCGAACATCTACAAAATGGTATAATTACCCATTTTTAACGGATTTTGACCCTAAAAAAGGCCACCTAGAATTTTCGAAAGCCTTTTCCTGGCTGACATTTTCGAGAAGGTAAGTTTTTATCCCTATTTAATTTTCGGATCACTAGACTTTCAGCTAGGAAATCCGAACAGATGAAAAGTTTTTAGGAGATAAAAATATGCCTATATCTACTGTTTGAATACTAAAATACATTCAACAATGCTATGTTAAGTGAGTTTTGAATTATATCCTCGTTGGGTGCCCCTGTTTTTGTGACTGCTTTAGGACTAGTTAATCTAAATTAGGCTATGATTTAATAGTTTTTCTTACATTTTGGTGCTTGTGAAAATAGTAGAATAATACTATTAATGTTTAACCCTTTTAAGCTTGAGCAGGACCTTCAGAAACTAACAGTTGATGCAAACCGAGCAAGGCAGACTCTTGAGGAACAGATGATAGAATTTGAAAGAAAAAAGATGGAAGACATTAAGGTAAATTTTCATACAAGAGAAAATAATTTGTAATCCTTGCATGAAAGAGAGTCCGTTTGAAGGAGGCAGACTGTAAAATTTTGTTACTTGTTGCACCTGCACATATCCTGCAACACAAGGTCACTTTCCAAAAGTCAGAACTATTTATTTTGAAACAAACCGCCCACCAGTACCCCTCCCCTAAGCCAACATCAACACTTACTTCTCACTTAGGGCAAAATGTTGGCTTAGGGGAGGGGTAGGTGGGGAGTTTCCCAGAAACATTTTATGATTCCAAAAACCTATCAGCCCCTTGCATTTAGGAATTGACTGATTTGACTGGACAGTTTTGATTAAAAGTGAGATTCTTGTTATGATGGGAATGGCCTGGTTGACCGGTCCTGACAAATGGAACTGAGCTTGTTGGTGATGCTTTGAGCTAATCCAGCTCAACTTGACATCATTCAAGCTTGTTCGCAAGAAGATGAGGCACTTGCAACAAAGAACAATATGTTATCTTTATTTGAAAACAAAAAGAAAATTTAAAATAACGGGTCACTTTTATATTAAAACTTTGAGTGTTACCCTAGGATTTCAAGTAGCTGGAAAGCACAAAAATTCTCAGATATTCTCAGTTTCCGGGATTTGACCCAAATACAGTACGGGATTCCTGAAAACGCAAAAATTTTTGACGGGATACGGGATTTGACTGCTACCCAGGAAGCGGGATTCGCCAAAATTTTGGCACGGGATGCGGCTTTTGGAAAGAAAACGGTATTCGGCAGGCGGTATTCGGGATACAGATGACAGAAGTTCGGGATGCGGGATTGTCGTGAAAAAGAGCGGAAATGCGGGATCAGGACCAACACCACCCCCCCGCCCCCCGCCTCCGCCCCCTTCCAGACCCTATTTCTTGCCCGTTGCTGTTAAGTGTTGTTGCTACGGAACGGTCTTTTTATGCAATAAAAAGCAGGAGATTTCTCTTAGATTAAGAAACTAATGATACCTTTTTCATTGCTCTCACAGACGGTATTCAGTAATTTCTTTCATGGTCAGATGTATTTTCATGCAAAGGCACTAGAACTTTATACAACTGCTATTCAAAATCTTGTTTCCATGGACGAGGAGCAAGATATTGAGGTTATATATTTGTTGTTGTTGTTGTTGTTGTGTTTTTTTTTTCTACCTTAAATTTCACATTTGTTATTTGTTATTTATTATTTACGTTAAAGAACAAGTATGTGTGAAAGCGCGGGAAAGCCGTAGTGCAAGCCGCTGCATAGCGCGGGAAAACTTGCAAGCAAAACTTGCAGGCTCTGTTTGCACAGCAGCGCAAGAAAACATGCAAGCCGCTGCATAGAGCGAGAAAAACTTGTGAGCTCTGTTATGCACAGGAAAACTTGCAAGCTCCAGACTCCTACCCAGTTGCTTCTCTGTATGGGTTGTGACTGCGCGCGTCAAATTGCCTTTCCATATTTCTTTGCGAGTATAAATATATGTGGTGACTGGGTACGAGTCTGTTGTAAGCTCTGTTATGCACAGGAAAGCATGGAAGCCGCTGCATAGCGCGGGAAAAACTTGTAAGCTCTGTTATGCGCGGGAAAATCAAGCGGTGTCGCGAAGCATGGGAAAAGGCGTTGTATTCATCTTCACTGCTGTTTCTTTTTTTTTATTTTAACGAGAAAAATCAAACTTAAGAACGTTAGTCGACGTTTCGATGTTGTTAAAAGAGTTCAAGTCTGAATAAATTAGATTGTGTGTTCGCTGATGCGCTGAAGCTGTAGTTGTGGGTTGGTTGTGAAAATTTTTATTGGAAAATGTTTTAACTCTTGATAGGCATTTCAGAACGACCTTCATTCCGCTCATCACCCAACACGACTTGACGTAGTAAGGGATGGTTCTCAGACCTCGCTCAATCGATTTAGCTCCCAAGGATCCTTGGGATCGCAGATGTCACTGAACAAGACTGGGAGGAGCGATAGAGGAGCCGACGGAGACGATGATGATACTAGCGACTTCGAATAAGGGAAATTATTGGTAGCAGGAGACGATCAACACTGGTTTCTATCTTTTATGTAGGCTTGGGTTATTAAGTAAGCCAAACAGAGCAGACTAGGATTTCCAGCAAATGCGGATGAAATGAGCAAAATATCGAACAAATAGTACAAAACAAGCCTGTTTCGTATCTTTAAAATTCACTCTTAGCACCAAGGCTGAGGGGTATAAAACAAAAGAAAGCACATTGACATTCAGCGAGAATCAGTTCATCGAGACTTTTGCTTTTCGCTCAGACTCGGAGCAAGATGAAGACTAAAGGAGGGTCCGCTTGCAGATAGACTCGGAGCCAAGTATGAATTTTGAGAATTCGAAAAAGGCGTATTGATTGAACAACTTTAGGCTAAGCAGCAGCTGAATGTGGCCCAGGAAGTCACCCAGGGTGCTTACCACTTGACCAAAAAATCCGGTTGGGGTGTCCAGCAGCACATAATGGTAAGCTGTTTTTCAGTTAATCGTACAATTGCCACATCCTTCTCGGTTTGAATCCAAAAAAGACGCGAATTTGTGAAGCATGAGTTTGTTTCAGAATCGTTGGCCAAATGATATGTACCCTCCATCTACAAGATTAAGTGCTATGTTGGATTGTGCGAGCGTACGTTTGTGATCGTGGTAAAATCCACGGAAAAAATTGAGGGTGCGCTAAGAGACTGTTTTGGGGACGCTATAAATCTCGTCTTTCATGGACTATTTCGAAGATGCGCCGAAAACTGGGTCAAATGTTTACTTGTGTGACTGCTTAAAAGCATGCAGAGTCAATTCTTACGTATAGTAGTCTGCTACACAACCGTATTTAGTGTCGTCACATATAGTAGTCAAAGAAAATTTTTCTTTTGTGTGTTCACCTTCTCTACGAAACTTTAGCCCGGGACCATAAGTAGGGGCAGAAAGGCAAAAAACGGGATGAAACAGCAAGAATCATCGGCAAGCGAAGTGGGTGTTGTGTTGGACTGGGGAGGGGGGAAGGACTCTCGGTGATTTTTTCGCCTTTCCGCCCACTGCGAAACGTTGTCCCAGGCTTCAAAACCTTTTATAGAGAATACATTTGTACCCTCTACGTGGGGCTGTAAGTACTTAGCAACCGCCGACAGTGATACATTGCGGGCGATGATTTATACCCGGATGAGCCAGCTCTTTATGCATTACATGTTGGCGATAGGATCATTTTCTTCTTCATCTATATTTTGTACTAAAAAAAGTAGTCTTTTCATTTATATAAATATAAAAGAAAAAAAACGAATTGGCGCTAAAATAATGCTGTAATGGGTAAAGAGGTCTTTTAAGTGTTACGGTCGAATATCCCTCTTAACGTGCACCTCTGTAAAACGGAAACCAAGAGTTGGTTCCTGTATTCTCATTAGACATTACTAATCAACTTCAGTGAATGGTGATGCCTTTTCAGTAGCGTTGATATTTATTGAAGTATTATTATTATTTTTTTTATTTATGATTTGTTCACTAAGGCATGGTGTTGTATGAAAAATGGATTTTCTATTTTATTTATTTATTTTTTTGCGACACCTAAAAGAATATTTTGTATTTATTTTTGTTTAAAAAATGTTATTTAAAAATAGTCAGTGAAGTGTTGCGTGCTAGAAGCAAAAAAGCTCGTTGCACGCTAGAGGCTATTAGTTATTTGGTCGTGTAAATAATACCCCTTGCACGAACTAAGTTTTTAGTAAAAATTTCTTTTGACTCAAGTTCTTTATGTGCTCACTCGTTGTCACATGGGAATTAGCACCAACGGTGGTTTAGTGTTCCGGGAGGGAGGTTCTCTTGGCGATTTCTGGTGGGGGTTTGCCGCCCGGTTTTCCAAATCGTGGCCCTATTTCAGACCAAAAAATGTCATTTTCCACACCCGTTTTCAGTCTTGGTGTCTAAGAAATTTTGTTATTATTACTTAGATTAGAACACCATACAAAAGATTTCTTAAAATTCTCTTTGAATTTATGTTATTGTTCCCTTTTTATTTATCGGGAATTGAAACTACCGCGTTCATACATTCCCATAGTTCCTTGGAAAACCATACCCGATTCCAGAGCAAAGTTTAAACCCGTCTTCAGACCAAAACGGCGCAAAAACCATACCCTTTCGGGCGGCACATACCGGGTTCAGGGGTGTCCGAACTCAAATTTACTTGCCCACGAGCACACTTCCGGAGTTACAGTAGTTGAATTTTCTTTGGTTCAAGCAGAAAGAAGGTATAACCGTGTTACCGCGAAGAAGAGATTTTCATGACATTTCGGCCATAGCCAGTAGCAAACCATCTTTCTGTGGTTGTTTATGTGTTCAAATGAAAAAGGCCCACGAGAAAGAAATGCTCTGTCTCAGTCGGCTGCCTCTAAGAAGTTCTTGTGTCCTCACGACCAGTGTCACGAATGCCTAGCTTTTTGTTGTTTACCGAGGAAAATAAAAAGCACAAGAAGGAATCGATGGCGTACTTTCCCTTTCCAACAAACTGTGTTCAAGGAAATCAATCTGATATTTTTACTTCTGATAAGTTTATGACCTTTCGGTTTCGAAGGGAAAACTCTTTAGTTAACTGATCCAAATCCGAATTTATAATTTCTAAAAAAGGCATAATTTTCTTGAGCGACAAATTTGCATTTCACTTCTTCTAGGAGAAACTAAGAAATATCTTTCTTCACAGAGTTAACTACTTTTGTGATGTTTTTACGGCTAGAATATCGCATGTTAACCCAGAGCCCAGACAGAAAGGAAATCACGCGCTCTTTGGCATCGTTCTCGGGAAGGTCACGCGAGGGTTGTTTAACTTTTTCATCAGTGGATTAAATGTAGTTCCAAGTTTGACTATATATAGATTACAAATGTAAACTTAACCCTACAGTGTCACCATTTACGAGAAAGCACGAAACACTGTACAGAGCTGAGAGAGCGTGTACGGAGATCGTGAGTGATACCAAGTGTGTATAAACCACTCAAATGAAATTTCAAGGGCAGAACTTTCTTGTCCAATTAAATTTTTTGCAGTTTTAAATTTTGAGTCCCTGTTTGACCTCATTCAAGAAATTGTTTAGCTGCTCAATAAGCAGATCAATCTAGAATTATGACCGCAAAGCGGACTTTCGTGTGGTGATGTTTATTGCGCTGTACACTTTACTTCTGTGGATGAAATACCCATTTTGTTCAACTTTTGTGGATAAACAGAAACGCATAACACGGTTACGAGTTTCTGATTATACTTTCTTGTTTTCAGCGCCACACAAGGTGCTCCTGTGCGTGAAATGTTCACCTGAGTGTGACCATTTAGAAGTCACCGTGCTGCAGTTTGTGTGACCCTTAAAATAAATTGTCGGGAAGCAGTGTTCACATCCTGCTGGCTTCAATTTCCACCTCCTATGTTCCTCTGTTTTTATGTGCCTTGGCCGCCATTAAACAGGAATGTCGTTACTTGGGGTTAACCTTCATTGCGTGCCATTGGCCTTCTCTGTTCACGAACAGCTAAGAATCAAAGGAAATAACGTAAACACCCTAGCCCCAGGATACAGATTCCTTTGGTCACGAACGTCATCAAAGCAAACAAATCTCCCGCTTCTCTGTTTCTTTCTCTCTTGTTTGGTCTGTAGTTCTCGAGCCTTCAAGAAATGATTTAGGTTCTGTTGCGTGAATTATTGAAACTTCCGAGCTCCACTGAAAGTGAAACTACTTATGAAAGTTCCATTGTAGACTCGGTGTCGAAAGTCGATGGTCCATGATGATGTCTCTTGATCACCAAAATGTAAATCACAAACAACTTCACTGAAGCATGACCAATCAGAGTTGAAGGGTGTTGTACGATAAAATATAGAGACCAATATAATATTCATATATACAAACGGTGTTTAATACGAAATTTTGTAAAAAGACTTACAAACGACCCTGGTATAAAGAAAATGATAAATTTTCCCCTTCCTACAACACAGTATAAGCAAATTATGATGAAACTTTATCACCACAAACTTCCCAAGTTTATGACTAACGGTTACAAGTTCAAAGAGCTCCAATTCCTTTTCCAAAAATGCTGGATCACTAAATAAAACCCTGAATTCTTTAACTCTCCTGAGTCCTCTGAGAACTTATTGCCCAACATGTATACTGACTGACCAAAGTTCAATATTTTCCTGTTTGAGTGAGAGTGGAAGGTCTAATAAAACAATATTTCTTAGCAAATCAAGAATGCCTCCAAGATTTAAACATTTACCAACATGCAACTCATTTACCAAACACTCTAGACTGGATCTCTGCAGATTACATTAAGTTCCCTTTATCTTTCAAAACTCGAATTTGCTTGCATACCCACAGTGGGTATTCTAATCACCAGCAAACATTTTAGTTAGACCTCTACAAGATAAAACTACACCAATGTGTAAATTCTCAGCAATCATAAATGCTCCCTTCAACAAATTTGCAACATGTGTTAATGAGACTACAAAATAAATCTTCAATACCCCAAGCCCTAATAATCCACTCTTGATGTATGCATCAAAAATGCCTACAACAGCACATTCCATCACCTTCCTTGTTTTAACAATGCCATTCTGATAGCTATAATCCATGATATTGACTAGCGCATCACAAAACTACACTTTGCTATCTGTCTTGAAATATGTAAAGATAAGTCATAAAACTTTAAAGATCTCTAAACAAGTCAGCTGTGCCATACAAGTCAGAATATAATATGGCAAAATACCAAACACTTCATAAGTATGCAGCAAAAATGAAATGAAATGAACTGTGATTAACAAAAAACAAAAATAGACTAATCTTTGCATGCAATCAAAATAAAAAGAAAATATTACATGGATGATATCAATAATATTAAAATAAATCTTGAATGAAGCTTTGAATCCATCTAAACACAGTCTCAACTTTCCTTGAATTTCCCATCACACTTTTTTGTTACACCAAAAACAGCTGCACTTTACGTTTACCAACTGGTTTATTGTTCAACTGTTCAATTGCACTACGTGCTTCGCCATTAGTAGGCAGTGTCACCATAGCATCACCAGATGAACGCCCTGGAGCAAGGTAATGAATACGAATGGAGTCTGGAATGATGGGGAACCCATAAAAGAAATCCAAAATTTCCTCTGCGGAAACAGTAGAGGGAAGATTGCGAATCCCTATAACACACCCTGCACTGATATCATTCACACTTATATTGGCCCCAGCCGCAAGTTGTTTTACAGGTGTCATGGGACCTTCTGTACCAACACCAGAATTCTCCTGAATAGGCATATTTCCAGCAGTATTCATCCCAACATCCAAAGCCAATCTCATTTCTGGTGATGACAGATTGTGATTATTTCCATTCATGTTCCCTAAGGAATACAAAATATCTTCTTGAGAGAAGCTTCTTTCTGTCATGTTAGGTTCCTGATATATCCGACTATCTGAGAGTTTGACATTCAAAATTTCATAAGCTCTTTCCGCAGTACAACGCTTTACGCCAACATATCGCTCCCTTATGAACTGTCTATTTCGGTCTGCTCCTTGAATACAGTCCCCAACAGACTTAAATTCCACATATGCGGTTCCATCGAGTTTCCCGAGCCAACTTCCCGATGAGTGCAACATAAGATGTACAGCCAAGACATCAAGCCCCTGAAAAAAATCCCGAATCTCACTTTCAGTGACAGTGTAAGGCAAACCTGTCATAAAAACCCAAGTAGAGGAAGCAGCTGCCCCATCCACATCAGATGATTCACGGCGACTCCTGTTCGGTTTACCGACAGAGGTCTCGCCTCTAATGACACTTCCCGAGTCCCGCCTTGAACTACTGGAACCAACAGACCTGGCATCCAATCGACTTTCTCGGCTATTCTTGTTATAATTAGCTGAACTTCTATCCAACCTGTCAGAATCCCTCCTTCGGTCACTTTCTCGAGTTCGACGAACCACCTCTCTTCGAGTTGTAGACAATCCGTTAGCAGTGCCGTTCGTAACGGCTTGTCTCCGACTACCTGTCGCATGGTTTGACCCAATTCGATCCTTGCGGCCCCAAGAACTATCAACAGAACTACTACTCCGGATGGGACTTCGGCTTCGAGATCGTCGAAGGGCATCTCGAACACTCCTGGAGTTGTCTCTCAAATTATTTGCCTTCCTATCGTCGGTCTGGCCGCCAAGTACACGGTTTTTGTCAAGGTCGTCTCCACGCTTGCGAACACCTTCCTTTAAAATTTTCTCCATTTCCGTTTGACTGCTGAGTATAAGCTCAATATATCGCTTTCCGACGAAATTCCCATGCCGGTGCATAGCTTTCCTCGCTTCGTCGTCCTTATGAAAACAAGCAAAAGCATAACCAGATGCCTTTCCTTCTGGGCTGGGAGCTAAGTGAATGTCTTCTTCACGTATGTCCAAGCCTCGATAAAATTGCCTTATCTCTCGCGCTGTGGCTTCCCAGGGTAAACCTTTCATCTTAATTACAACTACCATATCGACGAATGAGGTTAATCCTCTCTTTACCTGAAGTAAGATGGCAAATTGTGTACTTTAGCTGCAGTTCATACTAATAAATATACAGACGCACCGCACACTTCGGTGGGCATTCATTTCTGCGTCAAGTTCCGCTTGCCTTATCAGGGTCGGACCCCCCTAAAATCATTTTTCGCTCGCTGACCGGAAATAGGACTGCATGCAACAAATTTGTCCCCGATATTTTTGGGTCGATTAGTTGGAGATTTACCAACGGTAAAACCAGCACTTCATAAATACTTAGAATAAGGTTATTTAACGACTTAGCTTTGCTATTTGTTCGATAAAAATAATTGTGAAGACGATCGCTTCTTGCCAGGTGATTTGTCATGGGCTTCTGACATTCCCTATAGCAACCAGGCACACCGGAAACACGAAGGGTTTGCAAAATTTAAACCGAAACTGATAATGAAAGGAGACAAATCCGGAAATGGGGATGATTGAAGTTCAGTTACTGACGTCAGAGGTTCTTAATAAATATAGAACAACAGCTAGCTTGCGTAGCAGGTTTTTTGGTGTGTTTTTCAGTAGTGTTTCGTCAGTTTCATAAAGTAAGTAACCTGCGATCAGGCGCTCCCTCATCCCTTTCAAATTAAAAAAAAAAAGAACGTCTAATCGCAGGTCGTAAGGGGCAACTGAACGAAAAAAACGATGGGGAAGAGTGGCAAGAGAAACAAACGGCAAAGAGTTTCGTCTTCTCTCCATCCCCCCCTCCACCCCACCGTTTCCTCTTTTGACCGAGGGAAGGATCAGCTTTCGCCATGTTCGCAATTTGCGCGGCTGTGTCCCTTTCTTTACGAAACACAAACGAAAAACACACCAAAAAAGGCCTACGCAGGCTAGATACGAGCCTCTTCAATCTCGTCGCCGTCCCGCTGAGCTTGCCCTTTCAAACTGAGTGAAAAGGTATTCACAGCAGTTGATTATAAGGGAGACAATATTACTTTACAAAACCTAATACGAGGGTGCCTATGTGCCGGATCACTTTTTAGCCTCTGCGTCTACGAGATAGATCATTTTAAAACAGCCAAACTGATATTCAACCCTGTTGTTATTATTGGATTCAATCAGTTGAGGTCGGAGTTTAAAAGACTGAGTACTTGAATGAGTGACTTACCCTCGTGATCAGAGAATGAAGGCTGGCAGAGTAGCAGCCAGGCCCGTGAGAAACAATCACCGTTGGAGTGCGAGATCAAGAGAGCATCTTCTTGTCAAGAGCGTGGCCCAGTTTACTGAGGAAAGCGGAAAGATTCATAGTTTTTTTGGATTTTGAATTCTAATTAAGTTTTTTTTCTTTACGCTGGTGTCAATATTGCTGATTTTTGCAGGTGTTCCACAATATGAATTACAGTAGCGATAAGGTCTCATTTGTTAACCTGTAATGCACTAGTGAAAGCCCACTCGATGCCTTTCCTATAAGTCCTTCCATTGGAGGAGTTCAGCAACAAAAAAACTAGCGGGCAATCAACTGACTCAAACTCAAATTCTGATTGATTTTGATTTTGATAAGGAAAGCATTTACTTTGATCATGTGAATATCTTCTGTTAATAATTGTTCTGCTGGTACCTTTTTCATTTTTGCCGGCAACCCTGCTGAACAAAAATGAACTTATAAATGGATAATGCTTTTGTTTGGAGAGATCCCTTTACAAAACTTCTTGAGCGGGGCGAGTTGAAGTTAGAGCTCGAAGCACCACGAATCGGATAGGCTCGATTACCAGCCAATGTTCAGGAAAATGAGCCCGCACTTTGGAGCGACTTTGGAACGGCTTTGATTCAGACGCCAAACTTTTCATGTACTGAACCTAATGCATAAATTTTATAACGTAAGCAGTTTGACCGAAATGAGTATTTTCCGCCTTTTGAACTTAGTTCAGCTGCAATTAAGATCGGCGTCTGAATCAATTCAGTCGGTCTAAATAATTTTGGTCGGCCTTAATTCGAATTAGGGTCGGCTCATGTAAAGTTCGGCGTCTGAACCGGGCCTTACACTATTACTTGCAAATGAGCAGTCTACTGAATGATCGAGACCGTCACTCAGTGCTGAGTGATTAATATAATTCAAACTTTTCATCGTGGCTCAACAATTTGCATTCATTATCTAACTTAAAATAAACTGAAAAAGACGAACTACGTTAACAACTCTTGGTCATTTTCGCTGTAAAAGTTCTTTTATCATTGTCCGTGGCAGAAAACGTCCCCAAAGCTGTTCATTAACTATTACAGTTTCGTTTTCTTGATTTCTTCTTTATGCCAATAAAATCACGAACTGACGAAGCTTCCCCCTTTTTTGTTCGTTGCGATCGTTCAAAAGAAATGTAAGTTATAGATTTACAATGACTGAGCTGAATGAGGTTCATTGTCATTTCATAAACGAAAAAATTCGTCGGTGTAAAAGGCAATAAAAATTTATGAAACGTCATATAACTCACTAAACAACTGACCGCGAGTTTAAACTCTCATCAAAGTCATCAGAGCTTACCTGACAGTATTTGTCTGTATATAGCCAGTATCCTATTTGGTTCTCTTCAAGCAACAGGAGCCAATGGATTGAACTCTTAAATTCATTTACATATCCGATCAAAATCACCATGGTGCTAAACATCATTGGCTGGAATTCCATCTCCTATATAAGTTTTTTTTTGTCCTTGCAAGTCGATTAGTGATAATAAACCATTATCAGCTCTTTGTGGAAAACTAAGTCCTAGGTTATGCGGTTTAATAAAACTTTGTTTGTTTTGTTTTCTTGAAATTTCGCCGCGGTGAATCAACACTGTTACACAGACTGGGATGAAACAGTACGTACTTGCCAATTGATATCAATCCCTTCATTGCCCACGCAGCCCATAAAACCTGTCCACACCCTGCCGGGTCCACGTCTCTTTCTCTTTACGAGCAGCAGTTTAGGTTCTTTAGGGAGCTTAAGCAAAGACGTTTTTGAGCGACGCACGTCGACCGGAAGTGAGGCCTTCTCCCTTTTTATATGCCTGGACACTACCAAATTTGTATTGCTGAGTTTCTTTTCTCCTATAAAGACGATTTACCCAAGGGTTTCAACCAAACCACAGCCCAATGCTGCAAAAAGTCCACTTCCGGTTGACGTCCGTCGCTCAAAAACGCTGTTGCTTAAGCTCCCTTTTTTGGGTGTCAGTAAAACGCGGGGTTAGGGACAGCGCCGGGGGCGGGGCCGAATTCGGGGTCTATCATACTGTTTTAGGGTTAGTGTTATGGTTAGGTTCGGGTAAAGGTTAGGGTTAGCGTCAACCCTGATCCTAAAACAGCATTCTGTAAGAAAGGTAGACCACGAACCTGACCTGACCTGACCTCACCGTTTTACTGACACCCGTTCCTTTTCGTCCCACAAGAATCAAAACAGGAAAAGACCTGTGCTAACGGGGCCTACGGTTTTTCGTCATTATCTGAGAAGACTAGAATGTCTAAATGTACCGGGCGGCTGGCGCCGGGATTCAACAATTGATGTTTTGAACTCTGTTTCTTCCTGTAGATCCGGATAGTTTTTTTTGCTGCCGTTAATAACTTTCCCCAGTAGCCAAAAGACAATTGACCATTTCCAGGTTCCAAACACACTCGCTTTCAAAACGAGGCTAAGTGCGAAACCTTTCTAGTGAAAATGAGTTTTATTTGCATCCCTTCTTTTTTGGCTCTCGTTCCATTTTTCGCGCGGCCAAAATCAAAAATCCCTTTAACGGAAACGCTTGCTACGCAGACCTACGCTAGTCTGCTACACAGCCGTGTATTAGTGTCGTCACGCAACGCTCCTCCCCAGGGAAGAAGCGTTGCGTGACGACACTAATAACGGCTGTGTAGCAGAATAGATCTACGCGGGCTAAAATCATTTTCATACCAATGGCTTCGCACTTAGCCTCGCTTTGAAACAGAGGCTTGAGGTAACTCAGAAATGGTCTATTAATACCTTTCAGCCGCTTTGGGAAGGCGTAATATAAAGTGAGAAGGAAAAAATCAGGGAGGGGTGGGAGTAAGGAGGGGGGGAGCTTTCCCTCCTCTCTTCGTATTCTTCTTTTCCGCTTTTCACCCAGTCTGTTCTCCATTCGCGCTGCTCTCCACTATCTGAATGCCTGGAAAAGGCTGCAAGGAAATCACCAGACTTCAATACATTTGCAGCGGAGTAATCAGACGACCTTACCGACCGATCGAGCTGGAACCGCTCTGAAAACAATTTTTCTCGACCCTGAAATCGAGGTGGCAGGCCCCAGGCCCCTCCCCAGGTTTGAGTTATGGGCCCCGACAAATGTGGAACAAATGATGTTTATAAGAAAAATACAAATTTTCATAAGGAACAGTTTGTTTCTTCAATCCCGATTCTCCCACGTTTTTCGCGCAAGAATTACGCAAATAACGCGAGTTATCTCGCGCAACGCATCAGTGATCTCCTCCCCCACAGTAACTGCCGCAGTGTTACATGGGTCGGATGAGTCTGCAATATTAGTTGAAAGCAAGACTATGGCTGCAACGCAAAGTTTTTCATCTGAAGGAAATCTACAGCGGGAAGTTTGTTCCTTAATAGCTCAGAAATCATCAGAAGCTATCAAAGACCACGGATTCTTCGCAGTCGGCTTTTCGGGTGGTAGTCTTCCGAAAATTGTTTGCCCCGGACTGCTCTCTCTGCAGATTGACTTTTCAAAATGGCGGATATTCTTCTGTGACGAGCGGTATGTAGCACTAACAGACGCTGACAGCAATTATGTAGGAGTAAAGCAGCACTTGCTAGATAAGCTCTCTGTTGCTCCTGAACAAATACTAACTATTAATCATGATATTCCACTGGATGAAGCCGCCAAGGAGTACGAATCTCATCTCAAGGGGTGGTACCCTGGGGATGATGTCCCCTCCCTAGATATGCTCCTGCTCGGAATGGGTCCTGATGGGCACACGTGTTCTTTATTTCCTGGCCATCCACTGCTTCTAGAAAATTCTCGTCTTGTGGCACCAATTTCTGATTCGCCTAAAACGCCGCCATGCAGGATCACACTGACATATCCCATCATCAATGCCAGCAAATGTGCAGCATTTGTTAGTACTGGTTCCAGTAAGGCAAGTGTTTTACAACAGGTGTTGGAAGGTAATGCAGAGGAACCACTCCCAGCAGCAAGGGTTAGGCCCTCTAATGGAGAACTTCACTGGTTTCTTGATGACGCTGCAGCTAGTTTGTTAACCAAGAAATGAATGACTGACTTTCTTTCCACCTTGCATCTTTCCATTGTAAATACAGTTGAACCTCTTGCAAGCGACTACCCAAAATGCTGAGATCTAGTGGTTGCCTTTAGGAAGTGGTTGCCCAGGAGACTTGATCCACGGGGGGTCTGAGATAATTAAGTTTTAAAGACATCTACATTTTGGACGAGAATTCATTGAATGTGATAATTATGTGATTAATATGTGTGTATAGTTTCATGTTGTCACTAAACGTTCTTTGCATACTATGAGTAGTGTAGTACATAGAGATCAAACCATGCGTCAAGTGGTTACTTACAAGAGGGTAAAAGCAATGGAAAATTTTAAAACCGTTATCCAAAAAAGTGTTCGCAGTCCCCCTTGATAGGGGGTTGTTTACAAGAGGTTTCAACTGTAGTGATTTGACTGGGAAAATTGTTGATTTGTTAGATAGGTGGTTATAGGAGGTGGCTGCTTAGGAGAGGTGGTCACACATTGAGGTTCGATTGTAGGAGAATCTAGATCTTGATCCTGAGTAACTTAAGGCTTTCTCTAGCATCCCTGCCCTATTTCAATTAACAGAAAATGTGGTGTCCTGTCTGCTTCTCAGCCTTCTCTGCAGGTCTTTCAATCAAGGTTGAGAACTGCTTTCCTAAAGGGCTCAAAGAAGGGGCTTACCTGCAGGGGATATTAGCTGGCAATGTGTGTGCAGCATAGATACTTAAAATAAATAATCTTAGGAGCATAATAATGATAATTATTCAAGTCCACAAGTGATATATAGTAGGGAGCTCAAGCAACCATTACAACAATGCTAGTTGCAAAAGCGATCAATAGTAATGTCCCAGTAGTAATTCGAACAAGAGCAAGAAAATAATATTCATATACATACATATAACTTAAACTGGAGTTGAAATACAGTATATGTATAATGTAATGTAATGTAATGTAATGTATAATGCTCACTGGAAAATAAGCCATTACACCCTTAAAGGAGACCAACCGTGGAGTAACCGTACTGGATTTCGTTAACACCCTATGTGAGACAAAGAATCCGTAATTTACAACCCTAAGTGAGATGAACCAACAATGACGGTTATGGCTACCTTTTTGAATTCATGCTGTTTATTCCATCTTGTTTAATTCGTCAAATGTTGCTAGTTTTATCTGGAGTTGAATTCTAAAGACTGTATGGAAGTTCAAGAAGAGAAAAACAAAGTTATTGTCTTTTGTTCATGTTCTTCACAAAACGTGAATTTAGGCATTTTCACAACGTAATTGTGCAGTCACAGCATAGAAATTTATAAAAAGGTGTGATGCACGTTCAAAGTTGTAGTTTTGCCAATCTGAACCTATTGCTTTTTTGCCGTTCTCATTGACATCACCGTTGTCGTTGCTTAAGCTCCCTAGTAAAGGGGGGACTGATGCCATATTAAAATGTGAGTTTGTGGGCTTGATGGCCTTTTTATTGCAGTTGTATATAATCTATACATATTGTGGTTAAGCTCTTGGGTGTTACATGAATAAATGATCATGAGAAAGGTTGCACACTAAGTTTCTATACATGGACCTATTGAATGCACTGATATTTTAATTCATTTTTTAATGCATTGTTATTTGCTAAAGTAAAAAACTTGTTACAATGGGTGATGCTGCTGCCGATGCTGAGTCAGAAATTGGAAATGTTTTGGAAATGTTTTGCCCTGACATCTTTTTTAGCTTTAAAGACTGTAAAGTGAAACCTTGATTTAATAAACCCCTACATCCTCCGTATAACATGTAACATTCTTTACCCCAGTAATGATAACGTGTATGGAAAAGAACCTTTGCTATATTGACAGAGTTCAACCCCAAGTTTGGTTCTAATCAGGGTGATATAAAACAAGATACAGCCATTCAAGAACTTGAGAATTTACAAAGTAATTTACTTGGTGATACGTCTATATTAATAAATTATGTCTGGAGTTGTTGAAAGGCAGTATGTTTATACTAATATAAAAGGTTTGTAATTTTCACATGTGTATTTCAAATTGAAACACAATGCTCTAAGCCAATCAGATTGCAGATTTTAGTATAAACAAAGTAATTTACTTTTCTGTGAATAAATTAAGTTGTTGAAAGGTCTTGAGATGATGATTAACTCCCATAGTTGAGATGATACTCCCATAGTGCATACCCTTGTACCCAGTCCCCCATGATATGAAAGCCAGCAAATATGGATGCAATCAATAGCAAATCCAAACCAACAGACTGTAAATCATATTATTTTATTAGAATACAGATGTCACCTGTTTATACTTCAATAACATCAATGGATTACAAGATCCTATCACAACATTTGAACAGTGACGCAAATAAAAATAATAGACAGGTCTTTAAAATCAAATCAACAGAGGTTCAATTCAATTTTATCCCTGGTTAACTTGCATTTTATTTGCTTTAAACTCATCATCATACACTGCCATTCCCAAAAGAAAAGGACAATGGATAGGTGTACTGAAAGTTTATTTTCTTGGCCAAAACAAAAAAAAATTCTAAAGATTATATATTTGAAGAATGAAATGATTTAAAACAGAGTGCCAGTGAATTATTTCTCTATAGTCTCCAGTAACAGAACCCTCTCATTCAATGGATAGCATATAAGGGGCTTAGTGAGTTAATTTGTAAAGTTTACATCAATAATTTTCTCTAACATTTCGGCCCTGTAAGAGAAATTCAGTCTTGCAACTAAACCATACTAACTACGTTTCTAGTTTATTATGATTCCCTAACTTCCATGTGCCAGGTTGGTCACAACATAATGAACAAATAATTCCTTTTATAATATTATGTTTCTTGTCTAACCAGTGATGGCTATAAAATGTAAACCTATTGGCAAGAGAGAGAGAGAGAGTCCTTGAAATAGCCAACCACAAAATTATAATAATCATAAACACAAACATGGCTCCACCCCGGGCTGCTCAAGCTGCCTAAACAGCCATTTTATTTTATCTGTTCACACTCAAGCATAACTAAATAGGCACATGTATTAATGAGGTCAACTTCAAGCTATGAACTGGCCATTTTTTTGTTACAGATTTATTCCATCAAAACAGTCCTTAGCATTAAAGTTGAAAAAACACTGTACATCTTGCTCAATAACTACAGTGAAGGTTGCTAGTACAGTCTGTAAGTAGTGAGTTTGCTAGTCTACTTAAAAAATAACAATCTTTGAGTTCCTAAATGACAAATTTCTCGCAGGCTATCACTTGCTTGATTTGCTTTAAGTTAGTTAATTTTGTTACTACACATATTAAAGTTCTCGTGAGGATGTCACTCTTCCAACAAATGATCTAAGAAGCCCAAGCTTCAAGTTCTCTCAAGTCATCATCTTCTGCTTTGGCCTTGGCTTTAGCTGGAAATAGAAGAAACGGATATGAGAAACTTGGTATACATGAACCTTAAGAGCTTGATACACTTTTTATAGTCTTATCATTACATTATTTTAACTCTAACCCACAAGAGTGACCTGCATCTAGTCTTCACTGAAAAATCACTGCTTGGGTAAAGATCACGAGAACAACTCTAATGATCTGAGCTGGGTTGTTCAAAGCTGGGTTAAGATAACCCAGGTAAGTGCGAAATTTAAATTCAGATACAAGAGCTTTAAATGCAAATTCAGTTTTATTATTTTTTCCTACAACTTGATCATTTTAAGATCTAAAAATGAGGGGAAATTATTTGGGGAAAACGCTTTTGAACAAAAGAAAAAGAAACCCAGAATAAAATTTAACCCTGGGTTAGTGTTACTTGGCCTTTGAACAACTGAGGCCTGTACTTTAAAATGGTCTTGATTACGGACAATGGGAAATATACCATAGGAGACATATGTTTTAAGAGTAATGAGGAGAATATACATCACAATATCAATTAATATCTCAAGGGTTGATATCACTACCATAACCTACACAACCAGTACAAAAAGAGAATAAAAATAATAGACTTTGGGTAAGTGTGAAAGTTAGGGTAATTTTAATTTATGTATTTCAGCTTGGCTTTTCATCAGAGGAACACATGTACGTTGTTATTGTTTTTTTTTTTTTTACAGCTATGAAACTGGGTATAAAATTAATACAATGTAATGGGAATACCTCACATGTGAGGCTTAAAGAAAATAATGGCGGGTCCAACGTTTGAAAATGAGGTAAAAAAGAGAGTGTTGCCTGATAGCCTACAACTTGGCAAACAAATTATCCCTTCCATATGTCTGATGGCAAAATAAAGAATTTGATGTAGACCTGTTGCCTAGAGTGAAAAGGCTGCCTGAGGGCTAGCTGTCAAAAAGTTTTTAAGTAGCAGGCTGATAATGAATAGTAGGCCACTTTAGAACTTGCACCAAAGGCACAAGTTATTGAGGGCCAAGGCATCTACGGACATTTTAAAATTTCAAGTCTCAGAAAAATAAAATGCCATTTCCAGGGGTTTTCAAGAGGTATTTTCCACCGTGGACGCCACGTTATTTCATCAGAATAAATGCAAGACTGGGCACAATGCTGTCTAAATGTCCCAGGCATTCCACGACATTGCAGGGTTCGAAAGTTTCACAGAGCTAAACTTGTTTAAATATGTGTTCAATGTCATTCAAAACTGGGAAATGGATGCTTTATAAATTTTATTTGATGGTGCTTATTTTTTGTCTGCAGTTATGGTAGAAGGAGATAAAAGTAGCCAGCTAACAATGGCTAACAAGCCAGTGGTTTTGGCCGGCTACCAGCCCTTATTGACAGCCCTGTGGCTGGAAGCTGAATAACGGCTCACGACATAAAGGACTTTATACTACCAATAAAAGTAAATACAGTGTATAAAATGGCAAGCATGAGAACATCACTGTGTTTCCAGCAGACAGCTGTAATGTAAAATATATATTTGATCTTTACATGATGTGTTTCCAGAAAATACCCATATTCCTCCTATGGAGGAGGAATTTCTGAGGGGGAGGAGGATCATAAAACCCAAATTTTAAAATTTAGAAAAGTCTGCAGATAAACTGTAATTTTCAGGAAGTGGGGAGCAGGGATAGAGTTTAATCCAAAAACCTTCAAAATCCATATAGAATGGATATTTTCTAAAACAACACCATTATATTATTATGTTAATATCATAGGTGACGAATTACTCCTTAATTTTGGGGCGAAATTTCAGCGTTAATTTGTAATTTCACATGTGAAATTACTAAATTGCCATGGCAACCTGCCGTAAGGCCCCGTTTCAAGATGGCGACGAAGTTTTAAAATGTCATGAATGAAGATGTCAGGGCGTAAAAAGACACTTTAGAAAACCTGAACACACGAAAGAGAACATCAAGAAGGATTCTTAGAGGTATGTTGTCGAAAAATTCCGAAAACTTAGGCCAAATTTCAGCTCTAAACGTTTGAGAGAGTGGAGTTCATGATTGATCGATACGATCCAGGATAAACAAGTCAAAAATCCTCGATTGCTAAGGTAATTCGTCATCCATGATATTAATAGGTAATCAAATGGTAAACTCGTGAAATTAGGGAATAATTTCACTTGCGTTTTGTCCAAATCCTGATAATTTCCCTCGCCTAAAGGCTCGAGAAATTATAAGGATTTGGACAAAACACGTGTGAAATTATTCCCTAATTTCACTCGTCACCATTTGATTACACAAACAAATAATAAATCATTGTGAATAATTTACAATGGCAAATAAGCCTAAACATAAAACAGGAATGAACATGAAATCAGTTGGACCTGAATGGAAACTAACCTGGTTGAGCTGGTAGTTCTGTGGAAGGAACATTTGGCAGACTAGCTGTTCCGCTAACTTCTAGCAGTTGTTCATCCAGTCCCTCTTGTTCCAACTCTTCAAGCTCATTCATAAGCTCATCCTAAATTTGACGGAGCATTAGAAGTTTGTTACATGAGACATAAACAAAGATGAATGCTTTACTTAGCAAATATAGAAGAAGGATAAAATGAAGAGGAAAATGAAATAAGGTCCTATGTGACTTTTCTTCCAATTGTGATTGAATCTCTCTCTCTCACACACACTCTCTGTTTCACACATGCAAGAAGAAGACAATAATATTTGGACATAGAATCCATACAATGTTGAGTTCAAAACTAACTTGAGCTTTTTCTAATAGGAGTCTACGTGGCAGAAGTTACAATCTAACCCTGGTAAGTAACATCTGCAAAACAGCACCAGTAGATCTTCGGGCCCCCAACAGACTCAACGAATTACCACAAATACATTTTGAATTTCTCTTCACCCTGATTAGCAAATTGACAGTGGCTTTTTGAACAGGCTAATTATTACGGTGCGCACTCAAATCCTGGTAAACAAGTGGGCACCCAGAACAGTGGCAGATCCAGACCTACAGATAAGGGGGGGGGAAGGGGGTGGTCATCCAGTTCCTGAGATAAGGGGGGGAGGGGCTGGTCTTAAAAAATTTTTTCGGCCCCTCAGGCCTCAGCTGGGGGCGGGGGAGGGGGTGGGCACTCCGGGCCCCTCCCCTGGATCCGCCACAGCAGACCAAGGTTTTTGGCGCTGTTTTGTGGACACAATAAACAAGAGTTGAGTTCCATCTGTGGTGCAGGCTATTTTCTAGTGGCCTACATTCCATACAAAAATTTACCCCAGTAATTAAGTAGCACACAAACCCTTGTAACACATCAGTAGACCCCAACAAAGAATCAGATTTGATGAGTCATTTGTGAGCAAATATAGTTTATGATCAGTTCTGATAAGGTAAGAAAATCTCTCGTGTATTAAAAAAGGAAAGCATCAATGTTGCAACAAATTCATTATGAAAAGTAGCATTAACATTCTGAATACTCACTTCATCAACATCCATTCCAAAGCCAGCTGGTTCTGATATAGCCCTAGAGATTTCATCAGCCAGCTCTGTCTGTTCCTGAATGTCATCCATCATTTCATGGACATCATCAACATCACTATGGGGTGAAAAAAAATGATTGTAATACAAAATGGAAAGTTGCTCATTCATGAGCATACTCATGTACAACCATTATTCACAAACTGTAAAATAAAAATAAGACGAAAGAGAAGAAGAAGAATACATGTACTAATAACAAAAAGAATAATAATAATAAACAGTACAGGTGAGATTTTGGTCTACAAGTTGGATAAGCAATGGAAAATTAGTGATTTCCTTTCTGCTATTCAAAGTTGTGTGGCACTTGTATGCAGACTACATTATGACGTCAACTGCCATACAAAAAAGCGGTTCATTAGGCTGTGACCTATATATTTAAGAGGAAAGATTCTTCAATGCCAGCTACATAGCTTAACTGCCTTTGTCTGACATATTGGTTTCTCACCATAGAGTTAAGAGTGCTGCTACCATGTAATTCAGAAGGTAAAAGATCAGTCCATGGATGACATGATACATATCACAATATTATCACAATGATAATCACAAGGCCAAATATTAGGGAAAACAAACCAGGTGAGAGAAGCATGCCTGAAGTACTGTTTACTGGTGTATGTACTAGTGCAGTGTTTATGTGTTGGGTAGAGGATAATCTCAGGAGCTGGCTGTTGCACACGCTTTATGCTGTGCAAGTGACTAGAAAATACCTTAGGTTCTCACAAAATGATACTTTTGGCACCAAAGTACCATACCTTGTAGTTTGGTGCCACAAGTTTTAAGAACAAGAAACACAGGTTTCTACTTTTATTAACGCATGGAAAATGACGCACAAAACAGTCAATGTGACAGGGTATTAATTTCAGCATACCCGTAATTACAGAAAGCAAAGACATTTTTCTAAAAGTTTCACAAAGTTCGTACTCTTTTAAACTTTTCAAATTCCATGACTTTTCATGACTTTTTCCGTGACCTTTTCAAGTTTTCCATGACCTTAAGTTTAACTTTATAACCTCTGCTTTCCACTGGTTAAGGATAACAAACAAGCTCTTCGTAAGCCTTGGTTTACAAAGGGTCTTTCAAAATCGATTAGAAAAAAAATCTGGGCCGAGTTGTTCGAAGGCCGATTAGCGCTTAACCCGGGGTTAAATTTAACCCGCCTTTTTTTTTCTTGTGTTTAAAAGCATTTTCTGGGATAATTCTGAAACCGGCAGAAACCTAGGGCGCTTTCCATTTAGTCAAAATTTCCGGAATTTCCGGTTCGGCGGTAAATGGAACACGTTTCGTCAGTTCGTCCCACTGGAAAATTCCCAGAAAAAGTGGAAAATCTAAAAAGGTGGTCCCGTTTTCCCGGTTGGAATTTCCGAACGGAATGTCGTGTTCCATTTACGTTTCTCGTAGTTTGTACCAGTTCCAGGTCCACGGTCGGGCACCGCGCCACGTACCGCGGTTTACGACCAAATGGAACAACTTTTTACCAATCAGAAATTCCACTTTTGCTACCACCGAAATTTCCGGGTTTTTTTCGTAAATGGAAAGCGCCCCTAAGCACGCAACTGACCGAACACAAACGCGTGATGAGGAATGGTGACGTTAACAATCACATTGCTGAGCACCATTTAAAGACGAAACATCAAATTGACTGGGACTCTGTGACATGTATAACGTATTCTACAGACTACTATCAACGTCTTACTTTAGAAAGCTGGTTTACTAACTTAGAACAAACGCCACTCAATCGTAGCCAACAGTTACCAGCGCCATACAAACAACTTATTGACGACTGGTTTAAAAAAGGTTTTTGAAAGTTTCACACTGATGAAGTTGTCTGGCCAGTTAGCATGCAAGCAAGCTCTCCCAGGAGAACATAACGTCATTGCCTGATTAAAAATCAGCCAATCAGCAGTTTGCATCCTGTTCTGGAACACAGATATTCAAATTTATGAGACAAGAGTGCAAGCTCTCCTTCCCGTCTACCCTCCCCCACCCCTGCACTCCCGGAAACCACAGGAGAGCTTGCTCGCAGGCTATACTGTATGGTAAATATGAAGATGGGTGAAAATGCGAGATTGTTTGGCTGGCACTCCAGATTAACTACATAAAATATGTCTCTTTCACATTATTAAAACTGTAGCCAACTGGCACGTGGTTGAGGCATCACGTCAGTAAACAATGTATCTTTTAAAGCTAATTAAATCAACAGTGTGTTTGTAATTTACATGTACGCTGTTACTACATCAAGTGCAAAATTGGCAACTCGCCTCCCAAGAATTTTGCATGATCTAACTGTTAAAAACTTAATTGCCAGCCTAGATAGTTGGTACAGTTTAAACGTATGCTCACAGATTTGTTTTAAATATACTCACAGCTGTTGGTGAGCTGACTTCAGCGCCTTTGCAGCATATGACATATTCTTAAGGACTTCAGTGTTAGTATTCGCATTCTCCAAAGCCTCTCTTTGAAATTCGATAGTAGATAAGGTTCCATCGATTTGCTGCAGTTGTTTTTCAAGTCTTTTTTTCCTCTTTAAAGCCATTAAGGCAGCTGAAAATAACATTTAAGTAACATTTAAGATTTAGCATGTCAAATCGTGAACGTTACGTATACCACACGGTAAATATATTGATTACTACTGAGATCCATTTTGATTGCTACAATGGTTCGACACTGATTGCTGGTGTAAGAATTTACACTTGTATAACTGGGAGAAAAGCCTCACCTCTCTTATTTTTTGAAGCATTCTTCCTTGCCGTTGCTACTTCTTGATCGATTTTCTTTTCTAAAAATTCACTTTTCTTCGTTAACATTTCTTCAGTGGACCGCAACTTTTGAATCGCTTCCTGCGTTGTCGGCGGTTGTTCCTTGTTTTTCCCACCAAATATCTTCCACATTTTGAACAGCTTATTGCTTTAGTTTCCTAAAAAGAGAAGAAACTTTCTACAAAACAGGAATAAAACTACGAAACGTTCCCGAAATTGCAGCAAAGTTCCGACAAATCGAACCAGGTAAGATCTTTATTTAGGTATGTGACGTCACGACACTTTGTAACCAGGCAAAATGCGAAGCGAAGAGTGGAGAGGCATGGGTAGGATGATGCAAACCGATCTTCCTACCCTCCCGGCGCTAGTCTGAAATGCCGGTTGTCTCCTCACGAGGGGGTGGGGGGTGGGGGTGTTGAGGTGACGACTGACATTTTAGACTATCCTCTTGCACTGCTCTCTACGCTGCAAATCAGCTGGCAAATTGATCGAGCCTGACTAGGACGTCATTGCATAATTGTATGATCTCTTGGCCTCACATATAATCCCTATTTCGATAAAAAAAGAAAGGAACTTTTGGAGTTGTTTTTTTTTATAAGGGCCCCAGCCAGGTAGGAGTTTTGACCTTGACCCTTCAAACCAATCTTGAAGCACAAAGCATATTTGCCTTCATTTTATCATTTGACATATTAAGAGAGCTGGAATACCTGCAATGAGTAGTTTGAAAGAACAAGAATTCATTATATTCATACATAATTGATCCAGACTTTGTTGCAAGCGCTAGAGTTTCCGCTTTCTCGCAAGTGATCTTTGCTGAAGTTGCCTATTAATTCTAGCTACCGTGAAAATGGGGATAATATACCTGCCAACTCTCACGCCTGCGGGTTGAAAACTTCGATCTCACGCCGGCTCACGCCTACGGGCCAATTTCTCACGCCTGATTGAAAAATGTGAGTTGTTGCCGTCCTGCTTGACACAATTTCCAAAAATATGTTAACTCAGACCCATGTAAGGAACGAAAACCATGTGTGAAATGAATAAATGGCAACACCTTCCTCGCGATCTCTGATTTTTGAAGTGAAAAGCACTGGGAGCGAGCTCGCTTTTGGCAGACTTCGGCAGTCCTCGGACGTCTTCGGAAGACTTCGGCCTTCTTCGGGAATCTTCGGAAATGATCGTGTCGTCTTCAAAAATCCCAGCACTCCCAGGATAAAAATCTCACGCTTATATCTCAGTAAAAGTTGGCAGGTATAGGATAAGTTCCTCTTGTCGGCAAGCCTCGTACAGCTAGGTGGGCTCCTGGTACTACCTTTTGTTGTTGGTTTTCACATGACGTCACTAAAATTCAAACTACAAAACTATCGAGCCTACTGAGATTTTACTTTCATGGAGTATTAGAGCAGCTGGAAACTAATTTTAAAACAAATTTTCGCTTTAAAAGGGTTCTTGGTTTTGTAATAGAGTACGCTTGAATTTCTAAGCTTTTGCGTGACGCAGCATTCACATGACGGCCGAAAGAGCTGTCATTTAGGTTAAAAAAAGTGACTTTTTTCAAGGAATTTTGCTATCTAAACAGTTCAAGTATTAGAAAAAGTATTACTTTAATGTTTATGAGTTACTCTAGGAGTAAATTAACGCTTTTGTAACAAAACTCGGTAGCAGATGTTTCTGTTGGTTTCCGTCCGCCATGTTGGAGCTCATCCGGATGAGCTCCAGCATGGCGTCTCCATACAAAGGTCTATAAATTTGGGTAAAACATTTCCTCGGATATCTCGTATACCAATTATTTCTTCGACCCAAATCTTGCCGAGGGTCTTTGTATATTTACCTCCTTTCATTTCCCAGATTCTGGATTTTATCTGTCGAATGGTTTTGATTTTTATTCCGATCTATTTTGAATGGCGTGACACTGAAAACCAGCAATACAATAGGGCCATTTATACGAGGAAAAATAAGACGCGTCTTAAATAAGACGCGAACTGTACCATTTATACGAGCATGTCTTATCTAATAAGACGCGTCTTATTTTAGACAAAATGTGCCGTTTATACGGAAAGTTCGCGTCTTATTTAAGACGCGTCTTATTTTTCCTCGTATAAATGGCCCTAATGTGACTCTCGTATAAAGTTGTATCAGCTGATTCGCCTTATCACGACCTACATCACAGTGACATCACCGCGTCCCCCTTTTTTTCTCGGGTCTTCTCTTTAGATATTCTACCGTTTTCAACGGGAGACGTAAAACCAAAAACACGTTGAATACTGGGGCTAATGGGAGTACGCCATAACAATCAAATGAGCCAATCAGATCCAAAGCAAAAACATCAAGGCGGCGCTTAGCACGGGAAAACGCATAAGATTCCCGCTGGTTTGGGTATTAGTTCTGATTGGCCGGGAACAGTGGAAAAGTTATCCCCGGCCGATAAAGCGGTAACTGGTTTCACGGGCTACCGGCCGAGCTATACTGGCAATCTCGTTCCCAGGTTCTCTCTCCTACAATTCTTGCAAGAACCACTTGCATGGACAAACAGCAGGGAGAAAACGCCGGATCGTGTTGATGATCAGGATCAACAACTATCACCGTTTATTTTATTCTCATTTAGCTTTTCTAGTCCCTGCCCTATTGGACAAATAAATTTGTGAATTATCAACCCTTAGCTGTCCGATCAGCCTTTCCTTCAATTTTAAGTCTCTCTCCAACTCCGAAGGGACTGGTAAGAGAGAACTCTGGGAACGAGGTTGCTCTACTGGGCATGGGCAGGCCAACTTTTCACTGATGCATTTCCTGCGAACCGTTTACACGAGAAACAAAGCGTCAGCTCGTCTAGAAGGGTGACCCGCCTAGCCGGGTAAGGAAATTAACTGCAAAAACAACCGTGGACGAAGATCCTGCTGGTTGTCAACGTTGGATCTCCAGAAAAGAAATCTAATCAGCTAAAATATTGAGAACCAAAAAAGGAGAAATCCAAAGACGACTGCAATACACGTTGTCATGATCAGGGACACCCAACGAGAATGTAGTTCAAAACCAATTAAACATAGCATTGTTGAATGTATTTTAGTATTCAAACGGTAGATATAGGCATATTTTTATCCCCCCAAAATTTTTCATCTGTTCGGATTTCCTAGCTAAAAGTCTAGTGATCCGAATTTTATAGTGATCAAAACTTACCTTTTCGAAAATTTCAGCCAGAAAAAAGGCTCCCGAAAATTGTAGGTGACTTTTTTAGGGTAAAAATCCATTAAAAATGGGCAATTATACCATTTTTTAGATGTTCGAAAATCCTAGGAGAGGCAGGCAAGAAAAAAATTTTACCACAAATGTTCCGAAAATTCTAGATCTCAAATCGTCTTCCGAACAGATATTTTCTAAAAATTGACGTTGGGTGCCCCTGTTATGATCAGCTTTACAGTAGTCTTTGGGCTTCTCCTTTTTGGGTTCTAGCCGGGTAACCCTTTTGTTATGGTAGGGTCACCCTTCTCTCCGGGTCAACCTTTCCCCATATAAACACTTCACCCAGCCGGTTCAGCTCAGTGAAAGCGAGACTCATGAATCAGAGTATGCACGAGCGCTGTGTTATATAATCAGAATTTGCGCCAGCGATGTTGGCTTGGGCAAAAGGGTCAACCTTTTTCTCTATAAACACTCGCTAACGTTGAGTCGACTGGGTTAGAGAATGGGGTAGTCTCGTACCCAGATCTCACTCTGTTTTACACTGAAAAGTGTGCTGTGGGAGATCTGGGTACGAGACTAAGAATGGAGATGACTCTCTTTCCCGTGACAACTTATCTCCATAACACAGCCTAAGCCAATAACCAATCCGATACCATAACAAAATTACTTTTGACTACGATTCATTACAGTTACATACACAGCTCTAAAATGTAAATTTCATTCCCAGAGTCTCTCTCATGTCTTGTCGGAAACTTGAGCAGCCATAGGACGAGGTCTTCTAAAACTGAATGCTCTCTCCTTCAGTGAGTTGCGGGATGAAACGTTCCATTCTGCCACAAACCTCAAACTAAACTAATTTCATTTTTACCATAGTTTCTGGCTTTTATTGTTTTCATTCGACAACATTTACTTTCCTGCATATTATATCTTATTTAGCAAACAGAACTATTATCCGAAAAATTGCATCCACGAGTTAATAATTTTCTCCCTTTGCATCTCCTTGTCTTGATCTTGTTTATCTGAATTCAAGGACTCGCCCTTTTTCCACTGCTGTGTTCTAGGTTTCATGTAAACTGAATCGTTGTCAAAATTTAACCATACTTTTTCACTAGACAGTGAAAAATCATAGTTTTTGCCACAAAGCTCTCGCGAACACTCGAGTGCACTGCATGATCCTCGGTCAGTTCTGTGATCGTTGGTTGATTGCTCGCCAGAAGAACTAATCCCTGCCGCAGCTTGTTGAAATGTTTGCGGAGGCGGCCAAATTTTGGGTTGCGTTGGTGCGTTAAAGCCTCTTTCCTTACGATGTTGAGTCCTATTTCCTGACGTAGCTTGAAATCCTTGCGGAGGAGGTGCAAGATGCGTCTTTCCTTGTGTATGATTTTTATCTCCTGCCCGGCTTGGTTCTTCATTTTTCAGTAGTTTTAGCCTTGACATTCCCTTCTTCTTTACTTTGTCACATTCAAAAAGTTCCTTATTAAGTCTTGAACAAGATAACTTTTTAAAACCACTTCCAGACTCTTCATATATCTTCTCGTGGGCGTCTAGTGAAAAGACATTTATTTTGTCAATGCTCATATATCTTGAATAAGAGATTCGCGGTATAGGGCCTTTGTATCCAAATGTTCTTTCCAACATGATTTTTCAGTTAAATTTTCGCTTTGTCTATTCCTTTCACGAACGGAATCTGTGGCGCTGCGCTTTAAACATGGATACTTGATTCTTCATAATTTCTTTAGTCCTGCGCTCAAAAACCGAGCGTTTTTCGTTGATAACTCATGTGCCATAAATTTCAAAGTAGTCGCGGCTTTTAAGGTACCTCAGGGTAAGTGAGCATTTGAACTGAGTACCTCTTGGCTTGTGACAACAGAGTTTTTGTCCCGTCCGGGGAACTCTGAAGAGGTAAACGTTTTAAAGCGCAGATCGTATTTTCGCTGTATTTCAGCGCAGAGAGATGATTTATATAGCCTAAGGACCAGCATCCGATCAATTTGCATTTGAAATAGTTAAAAAGTTAAACTAATTACTTTCTTACGTGTATGACTGCACGCTCTTTCCTTGTTTCGGAACGTTTTGCGGAAGTTTTTCCTTT